GGAATCTAGCGCACTTTGCATTGCTTTTAGTTTTACTGAAATTTATAGCCTTTTTTCACAAGAAAGTTAATATTTTGCAAGTATCAAAAGAAATTCAAATTTAAACCATTAGGGACCATAACAAAGCCCGTAATATTGACGCAGTGTAAATTATTTTATTAATAGACAACAAATATCCCCTCAATTGCCTTTTTGATACACTTAAACTGCATTCAATTTGTTGAATACTGCAAAAAAGTTATACCCTCACTACCAACAGTCAAGTAGACTGTTTCAGTTTTTAATGTTGGATTCTAATTTTTCAACCGCGGTAGCCCTTTCCTTTAGAAGGTCAAATCAGCGAGAAGTAATTTCTGAGATAATGAACCGTACCAGAACCTAACAAATCTTTTTCGACTGTAACATCCCCTGACACCCCATGGCACCATGGCCACCAGTGAAACACCATTTTCGCACGTAATTTTTCAAATTATCTTTCCCTTCGTAGGATGCCCTTCACTGGTAGCGGCTGTTCGTGTCCAAAGGATATTAACAAGGAGACCTCAGCTCAATCCCTTTTTCCCGGAATTACCGTTTAAGCGTATTTTCCGGAGGGGAATGTTTAGTAATCTGCTCCCCGACCTACGTTCTTTTTGACCTCAACGCCTCCCGTAGCCGGCGCTTGCCGCACGGGGAGGAATTAGATGCTCGTTAAACTATAAGCCATGTGGAGGTATTTTTAGGTTTGTTGCTAATGAGATGCGATAAATCTCGCGCTTCCCGAAATGGCGAAGGCCTGCGCTCGGTCGAAGGCAAATTGCAGCTTTGAAAAAATATCGGTCATCGCGAACACAAATGCCCCGAATTATCATCTTTTTTTATGTTGCCTGATCACCAGAGTGAATGAGAAAGAGCGACGATTTGCATATTTTAGTCGCGTATTTTGGTGTACCATCGTGGTAATTTTTAATGAACAGAGCGTTTGGTGAAAAGAAAGTGAGCGTCACCACTTATGATCATATTTTTTTCTGTTTTTTAGAAGTGGCATGTGGTGTAGATTCCTTTGGTAATTTAAGATAATTGCTCTTTACGGTACAGGCAACAATTTTCCTGAGATCAATATAGAATGCGTACTTATAATCTCCTTTTTTTAAAAAAAATAAAAAGTTCAATAAAAGTTCGCAATATAGCTGGTGTCACCTGGTTCCTTTGCGCTACCTGGTGCCAAAATAATGACCATCAGCCAAGTAACAATCATTCGGATTACATTTTGCAACAAGGAACCTCACTATTCCTGGTTCTTCCATAAAAACACCTTTCTGCATTAGGAATTAACGGCATAAATGCTGTTTGTAAAATGAGCCAGAAAGAGTGGTTTCTTTTTGCAAAATGTAGTCCATTTGATAATTTGCTTCTGATACGGAAGGTTATTCATAGTATTGTGTATCTATGGCGTGGAAGTTCTGTATGCGCTTTGCGATCGCAACTAGATTCACGATTATACTAAAAAAGGTACCGTGTTTCTGACGGTGTAATACTCTCACTGCCAAGTTATTGTTATAGAATAAAAATGAGAATTATTATTTCTCGAGATTTTCTTGTTTGATTAATCATAAATACTTTTTCAACATGTCCAGAGTTCGCAAGATTTGCGTGGACGTGTCAGGATCAACCCCCGTTTTTCCTGTATTTATCATCAAAGCGTCCAATTATCACTCATCATCGCCTTCCAATTATAATTTTATTGATTTTTTTCCCCTCCCGGTGCGCTAGTTTTGTGGCTGTATCAGAAACATACTCGTGCAGCGACGCACTGGTCGGTTTCTTGACCTCGACAACGGCCATTCCGTGGATATTCGAAACAAATATGGCATTAAATAATGTATGACGTATGATCACAAGACGGCGCGTGACCAATAAGTTGCGAGTGGGTGAACGATGAAGCATCGAAGCCTCCAGGACGGTCAAATGTGGGCGCTGCGCTTTGCCTGTGAAACGGTCAAAACGACCACTTCACTAGAGCATGGCCGTGTAATGGAAGCTTGCAGGGAAGTTCAATGGTGGTTCTCAGATGATATGACGAACTATTTTAATGACAAATACATATTCCTATAATTGTAGACTACACATAAAGGAAATATTAAGCCTCATGAATAAAATGCATGATATTTCATACTATGTCTGCACCACTCTGATCGATTGTTCGAACCTTTTCGTCAGTATGCCCTGGTTCGATCAGAGACGTGTACTGAAAGTCAAATTATTTCAAAAATGGAATAATACAACCGATTAAACCATAATCAAATCTATATAGCTGTATTTTGCACTGTGCTCTGTAACATGCACGACTGTATTCTGCATTAATACAAAATACGACCCTTTTTTCAGTATAAGCGTCACCCCTGATATTTTTGAACGAACAGAGATAGAGACTCAAAATTGTGTGAGTGCTTCTAAGTTAAAGAAAGGAACCGTTGAGGCCGCCAAAATCTCAAGGGCATATCACCCTGGAAATGGGCAAGAATATAACCCTACGGGTTACAGGGGTAGTGCAGGATTTTTAGATCACCGCGTATAAGGTTCACCAGAAGGGCACCACTTGCACTGAAGACTTTCTACTAGTTTTTTATAGAGTTGCTATGGGGTCGTTCATAAAATATGTAATGTTTTCTGGGCACAGGAGGATTTGAGCCTGCATCACTTGTTTGTAACAATCTGCAAATTTCTCAGGCCTTGTCTTAACGGGATGTTTCGTAGGATTTGTCCCAGGAGAACATCTCACTCGTAAAGTTGGGAAAAATACTGAGATAATCAATACCAGTCACAATACTAAGTAGAGTCATTGTGGGACCCTAAGAGCGTCTCAGAGAGAAGAGGAAGACATTTTGTTGTTTCGCTTATCGGGGGAAAATCCCAGAAGTTTCCTTCCTGAGATTCGAACTAGGAAATATCCCATGAAACGTCTCGTGGAGACAAGGCCTAAGACTCCAAGCTGAAAATCGTAGCAAAACTTTGACATTGATCATTCTTCGAGCACATACATGTGTTTTCGCACATGCTTATAACCTAGGAAACCGTCGCTCATTGCAAGACTCTTCAAAGGAGAGTTCTGGGAATCGGGCTGAACGTGTTGATCGGAGTGACGTAAATATTGAGTTATGGGCCGATAAAGACGGCTGACCGTCATCGATCAGCGCGTAGCGCATGTGCTTCTTCTCGCGAGTGCCGACAACGCAACGGTTGCGGTCGGAAGGTGGAAGGTCAGTGGACACCTCGGCTTTGGCTGCACCAAATTTATCGAGTTGATGGGAAAACAAATTCCAAAGCGAGGCGGGTCCCCTCCGTCGCGGCTGCAAGATTCCATACTTGGAGCGCCAGCCGCGAGACTCGTGTCGCCGTGCCCGATGCCAAATGGACAGCACCGAGCGGAAAGGAACCAGGATTCGCCGAGAGACAAGAGGTCTGCTCGTTAGTTGCTGGTCAGCGAAACTTAATGAGAATATCGTATACAATTTGCGCACCGCAGAATTGCAAGCCGCCCCCTGTCTCCTGACGAATTTCTGTTCGAGTAGCTCAATGATCTCTAAATTTTAATCACACTTTCACTCTGCTGAAAGTAAAGATATAGGTCTTACGGTGGAGGTCACATAGACCATTTGGACTGCAATTTGCAATTTGGAGCTATAAATTCTGGCTCATTGGAAAAAACACTTATCTGCACAGGTAAACTAATGGCACATACGTTGTTTTTAAGCCAGGCCGGAAATTATAGTTCCTAGTTGCAAAATGTAGTTCAATTGACAGATTAAGAATTTAAATCTCTTGGAGTTGTGTTTTCTCATCAAAATTTCAGCAGAGCACCATGAACATATCGAAAACTTAAAAAATCACCCACAAGTGTGAAGTTAACTGTTGTCGTTTACATTGAAATAAGTGGATTCAAAATTTCCGCCCGTGAAAACACCAACATTTATGTACACGTATCGCTTTTAAAACACACTCTGGCGCTCTGCGACACCCAAACGTCGCATGTGTTTATCTCCCCGAAGGTTATTGGGCAACTGACAGGTACCAATATCATTCTTTGACGCCCTGCCGTCATCTCTTCATGGGACGTCCTCATCGCCGTATTCTAGGAGGTACCCAATTAAAAAAAATTTTACTCAAAAACGAGGGTCAAAGTGGCCATTGAATAGAAACTCGACTTTATTAGTGGTCCGCAAATGCGGAGAGAAATATTTGTATTTGAGCACAACTGGGCAATGTAGCGTCATTCAGAGGCGTCGATCCACGTCTCATTCGTCATTAGCTATGTCATCGCTGATAATGTTGTGTGTGGATGGGCCTTATGACGTCATGCGGTGCCAAAATTTGAGCACAGTTTTCTCGGCAGATGTTGCGCTTTGATCTTTATCGGATGTCCGCCTAACACGCTTAGGATATATGTGAGGACGTGGATGCTCTCTTGCATTGCACTTAAAGTGATGTCATAGCTAAAACAGTCAGAAAAGCGGCCTTTGGAATGGATCATGCTAACGTTCGGTGGAGTTAGCGAGCAATAAAATTTAACGAGCGCTGCGTCGCAGAACATATTCAAAAATCGCCAAAACGGAGCGAGCTCACGACAAGGTTGTTGGAGTCTGTTCCGTTCTGGAGATGACATCAGTTTTACTTAACTCTCACTCAAACTGCGTTGCCAAGTATTCATATAATAGGCATTTTCAATGTAGAACTTACCTGCATGATTTCCGAAGGAAAAATTACTGGTGCTTTTGTTTTTGGCCAGTGTTTCAATCGAATTCAGATTAGAATTTAATGAGTAGCCATTTCCATAAATCTCGAACTTGAGAATTTTTAGTCTAGTCCCAATCTAATCGCCATTTTCCAGCGTGCGTTCATCAAAACGGTTTGTGGTGGATACTGTTTTTTTTTTTTCCTTTCCTCTTGGTTTTTATGTTAAATGCATAAAAAATATGTAATACACACATCTTTTAAATTTGCATTTTTTGTCGTTGTTACAGGGACAAAGAAGATGGAATACAAAACTCGACAGTGGCACGAGAAATGCTTCAGCTGCGTAGTTTGCAAGACCCCGATTGGCACGAAGAGCTTTATCCCTCGCGAACAGGAGATCTTTTGCGCCGGCTGCTATGAAGAGAAATTCGCCACTCGATGTGTCAAGTGCACCAAGGTGAGCTGGTCATTTCTCATAGTCCCTTAAAAAAGAAGTTTTCTATTAATTAATACTTCTGCTTTTATAAGCGTAAATCAGTCACCTTATCGTGTTTACATCTATTGAAAATGTCTGAGGGGAGGCATTGCAGTGAATACAAAAGTGGGGTCATACACTTACATACAAATACTTGCAGGTGAAAGTAGTGTTGCTGGGCTGATTTTTGGAATTGATAAACAAAGCTATAGGCAAAAAAGATAGAGGGAAAACATAGTGATCTTATTTGTGGAAATGGGCGGCTGCAATGGACAAAGGAGATAAGTAACATTCTTACTAACGGCAACTCACAAGAGACCTCATAGTCAGTCCATCATTTTCCCTCACAATCGATAAGAACGTTCCGTTCCAACTAACAGGACCGTTCAACTACGTCTTTGCCCTCTTTGTCTATAGCATTGTCTATAAATTTCAATAATCAGCCCACAGACCGAGGTAAGCCTTGCCAGATGATCGAAAAAATCAGTAAGAATCAAGTAAAACCCAGTAACAATAAGTAACGTGGTTAATCAACGCTGCGGCGATTTATGTAATTGTGTTTTTGCGTTGCAGATCATCACAAGTGGAGGTGTGACATACAAGAACGAGCCATGGCATAGGGAGTGTTTCGTGTGCACCCATTGCAGCACCTCCTTAGCCGGACAACGGTTCACCTCCCGTGACGACAAGCCCTACTGTGCCGACTGCTTCGGAGAGCTCTTCGCCAAGCGCTGCACGGCTTGCAGTAAACCAATCACAGGTACGCTCACCCACCAAAAGTACCAATTTTAAACCATCGATGAAATGAGTTCCACGCATACATAAAAAAGAGAGCCATTAAAAAATATTAACTTCCTTTTGATGATATTACATGTAATTGCTATGAGAGAAGCCCCTTCAATTAGTAGAGATGCAACATACACAACACGCTGGTGTTGTAGCGATAATTTCACCAATTTTAAGTGATTGCACTTTATCGCATTTTGTACCATTTGGATCATATATTTCGATGACGAAATTTTATGATAATAACAACGCTGCAATTTTATTTGAAAAGTAAACATTTTTCGTCGAGAGTTGTACCTACTTAAGGGAGCATTCATAAATTATACATAACGCACTGTTTCGGCATTTTTGATGCCCCCTCTTTACACTTGTAACGTCTTGTAACGCATCCATGGACCCTTCTCTTAATATTTCGTAACGCTTGACAGACCTCTCCTCGTCAAGATCCCAAAAAGTGTCAGAAATTGTCGAGTTTATGGATGGATAGAGATAGAAGTATTTTCAAAGATAGTGTCCCAAATAACGTTGAAGGGAATGAGGATGATACATTATAGATTTTGTGTGTTTTCTTACCAGTAGAGAGGGTTATATAATGATAGCACTCAGCCCCCTGTCCCTTGTAACGCAGGCTCATACCATTTCCCCTCCTCATTGCGTTACGTAATTTACGAACGCTCCCTTGGTTTGAAATTTGAAGTGCTCTAAAGATATTTTTAGAAATAGAGAAATGAGGCATGATTTCTAACTCAAGCATTGAAAGTCAAATCTTAGTGTTTAACGAAATGCTTCTGTTCTCTTAAACCTCGAGTTACAATGAAACATGAAAACTTCGCACAGTGGTTCGAGTTTATTAGAGGACATGAAATTTTTGACCCAAACTGAAAATTTCGGTGTTTATTTCGTTATATTTTAAAATGCAAGGGGTGTTTTCAGAGGCAAATCTCACGATAAAACCAATGAAACCACTTTTAGAACCTCAATTTTTTGTAAAAACGGAGTTATAAGCGTTTAAAGTTTCCAAATTCTGTTCAGTCTCTCCTATCGACTCGATCCACTGTGCGTTGATACATTGAAAAAAAAATTAATTATTGACTAATTGGCTACGCACTAAAAAAAAATCTCAGTGTATTTACTAAGAAAAGGGTAAAATTACCAAGAATTCAGGGTTCTATTTGATCCCATTTTTTCTTGGTAAAATTACCATCTATGGAATTGGTAATTTTACCGAGAAATCTCGGTAAAATTATTGAACTTTCTCGGTAATTTTACTGGACCTCGGTAAAAACGCCAAATTTTTTGTCGACTGTGGTAGAATTACCGAGATTAAATGGCAAAGTTACCGGGAATTGATTACCAATAAAAGTGGTATTCTCACCCGAAAAAAACAGTAAAAATACCGGTTTTTAGGTAAGCACCAGTCTGTCTTGGTAAAATTACCAATAATTGGTAAAAAAAGTGAAGTGGTAAAGGTACCAACGGACCTTGGTAAAAACGCCGAGAATTTTTTTTCAGTGCGGTAAAACGCGAGGAACGCCATGTTTGTAAAATAATTTGAACGGTTTTTTGGCCTAGGTATTGGCGGCACCCGGTTCATCTCGTTCGAGGACCGACACTGGCACAACGACTGCTTCATCTGCGCCACGTGCAAGACCTCCCTCGTCGGACGGGGCTTCATCACGGACGCCGAGGACATCATCTGCCCCGAATGCGCCAAACAGAAACTCATGTAGATATCCTAACCTAGATCTAGCACACCCTTCCCCTTCAATCACCTCACAATTCACTCGTAACAACCATTAAAACCAAACCATGTACAGTCAACCAGGTATATGAAACCCTCTCAGGCCCGAGCTTCAACTGTCTGGAATTTATCCACCGTAAGGCGGCAGTCGGCCGGGAGGAAATTGAACTTTCAGGGGTCCGTTGGAGTGTGTCGAGGGCTCGTCCCGATCCTGTGTGTTGAAAAAACATTTTTCTTCAACACACGATTTTTTTTCACACACAATTTTTTTTTCCCGCGTTATGGACCAATGTCCATGACGTTGCCAAGATCCAGCTTGGGTCAGCAGTAATAACACGGAAACTTCAGTCACTGGACCTGGAATTTTATCAGTTACTTAAGCGAGAATCAGCGTATGCTCTCAGCAAATTTTTAACGTCCGCGTTGTTGTTTCAGATAAAATGTTTCCTTGTACATAGTCCTGAGCAACACGACAAGTTCGCGGTTGTGTTCCTCACGTCACTTAATTTGTGATTTTGTTCGAACGCAACTTTCAGCAATCTAGTTCTAGTAATGTCACATTCTACTTGCCTGTTCTCCTTTTTCTTCAACAACAACTTCAACAATAAACTTTTCAAACTAACATCAGATTTGTACATCGGAGAGGGAAATATTGTTTCTTAAGACTCGTTTTCGGTGCCATTATCGACACGTTCTAACGCATACGACCCCGCTTACCTATCCATTTCTGTTTTGAAGGTCGGCCCCTTTAAGTTCAATAATCTTATCATTGATTTACCCTCATGTACATTGTACCTGCACAGAAAATTTTGGAAGTTTCAAGAATTTTCACGTTGGAATCGCCACGACGCTATAAGCGTACCTACCTCAAATACGAGCCAAATGTTGGGCTACGCATAATCAATTAATTTTCTCCGAACTTCCAAAATTATCTTTTGCATGTGGTTTTGCGCCCCAAGTACCTTCTTTCGCCATAAACAATATTGAGTGAAAAGAGAACCTCAAGCACGTGGCGAGATTTATTTTTCCTCACGAAGAGAAGGACGATTTTGTAAAAAGACTTGCCCAACGCTTTTCTGTACTAATATTCTTTCGTTCACAAGTATTCCAACTTTAAAATGTGACCAACCAGTACGTCCAGTATCAACACCTTAAAATGACACTGAAGAACTTTGTGGACGATCATCGGTTGAAAAATGCCGATCGAGCTAAATATTATGCATGAATTTGTTGGACTATCCCTGGCTCTATCTTGATGATGGATTTTTACTGATTTCAGGTCAGGTCATTAGGTAGGACGTGACCAGTCCGTAGAAAGGTCAGAGATCAGGTTCAGTTTTGGTTCAATGTCGCCGGTTAAGTTGACAGCCGTAGCGTAGGGGTCCCAGCGTGCTAACCCAAACAAGCTGCATTCTAGCGTAGACCCGTAAAAAATTGTATCAGTCAAACTAACATTTTGGTGCTAGATATAAATCTATTTTTACTTTGTCATATATTTATATACATATACATCTATTTTTTTAGATATCACCGCAAGAGGCTTTCATGAGATAGGTATTTTCAGTATTCTCGTCCATTAGCGACCTTAATAGTTACTTCACAGACACATACAGAGAATATAAGTTTGAAACTTTTCAGTTATGCTTACCAGATTCGCCCTTTTTTAACCTAAAAATCTGGAATATGAGCTTTCGCGTGACCTCATCGTATGCATGGATCCCTATGATTTCTTCCCTATAGCATATCTATACATACTATCGTCCCCAATCCTCTCAGGGACCCTCCCAATTAAAGTACCTACGCCATTTCCCGCCCTTATTTGATTTTTTATTTAAACTCTCTCTGAATAAATAAGTCTACCTTACTGCATGCCCTCTTCTTTTTTGCACCCTTATCCTCGTATCAGGCTATCTCTTGTATAAATTTTTCTAATTCCACTAAACAATGTCCTTTAGAGTCTTGAGACATCGCCTGCAGCATATGTTACATGGTTGGTCTCGTGTAGGTATTTATCCTAATTCTGTGCCATGAGGTTCTTTATATTGTACCTGCATCCTTTTGTCCCATTCTCAGCTGTGCTTGAAATTCCCCAATGATATCTTTTGCACCTACCTCTATTACGCTGAAAAATCAGAATATTAAACCTGAATGAATGATCATCCCTCATCAAATACTCAAAGTGTTGAAGAGCAGGTATTTTGTAATATTTCACCCATACATCTCACCAGATACCTGTACTTAATCCATCTTTATCTATCTCTTACACCTTCACCAATTCAGGGGAGGACATTTTTTTAGTCATTTGTTTTCTTTTTTAGGCAAAATGTGTTATCGATTTTGAAAATTTTCGTATTTTTAAAGCTACAGCAGTTAGATCTGTAGAATCCCAATGCCGAAAAAATATGGCTTGGAAGAGCAATTTGTTAACTGAGTCTGGGATTAATTGAAAGGGGACTTTTTAATGATGTATGCTCATTCCGTGAGTAAGTGATTAATTTGTTCCCTTTCCTCCTCCCCCAACGCTGGCAAAAGTCATCTGCACGCACTCGCTTCAAGTAAATTTTTGTATTTTTAAGAGACTTACCCATTTTTACTCAATAGAATTGAGTGTAATTATTTTTGTAAAATTATTGTCTAATATCAGTAGCTTAAAGTTAAAACATAGTAGCTAACAAATCGTATCAAAACCTACCACTTACCGAGAAAAATATTTTAATACCTAGACAGATTTGTTGTTTAATGCTTTATTGTTTCTATGTTAATGTTTTGTAAGTATTTATTTTATCCTTTAATTTAAAATGTACTATCATTGTTATTGTTTTTTTGGGGGGGATCTTTTATGAAGTCGCTGTTGGCAACTTCGTAAGTCATCGATCGCAGGAAAATTTCTGGCGGTGAATTCGGTGATTTCACCCATGTGTTGTCAGTTTAAGTCAATTTTTTCAATTGTCGTTACACTGGAGTGAGCAAAGTATTTCTAGCAGGTACTAAACGAGTCAGTAATATGTGACACTTTACTGTACCGAGATCCATCCCTCTGAATTGTACTCTGTGTTTTTAAAATCCTTCAATCAAAGAAATAAATGTTTAATCTACATCTATGCTTTTGCCATTTCTTTCAAAATCCTAGAACCCTATCAGTACCCTAAAAGTGAAAAAATATCTACTTCCTACTCCTGATTTTATGCTTTTTTCGCCTGGTGCAGGATTAATTTTAGTTAGGCACATCTAGGGGGTGGCCCGGAAGACATCCTGGAGGCTTCTAAAGCATCCCGGATTTTTTTCTCTCTTTTTTTCTTTTCTTTTTTTGAATCGGGAAGTCGAAAAAGTCTTTCTTGTGGCATTTCCCGTTTATCCAGTTCTTTCCCTCTATTAGTATATTGAAAGGAAGAATAAGAAAAATTTCACATGCATATTTACAAAAATTAACAACAGAACCCCAAATTATTTTTGATTTGGACTTATAATATCATATATTGAGCAAAGATAATTTTTCTCAAATATCAATAGGATATGAGACATCTGAACGTGCGTTGATGACGGCGCAGAGATACAACTATTCGTACTTGATGGATGTCCGTGTTGCGTAGTCAAAATTGAAGGCGCCATGGCGTGAGACGTGAGCTCTCAATCGACGGTGAAACTACCAAACCACGTATCTCGTTTGCGGTGTTTAAAAATCTACGCTCGCATTTTATTTTTTTGAAGTCGACCAAATCAATATCATTCCTTGAAATTTTCACAGAATTTTCTCCGCACAAAGAGGAAAAATCACAGAAATTTTCAAGACTAGACGTTAAGTAGTTTTTCATTTAAAAAATAAAGTATGACAGGAAGTCTGCGACGTCGCAAACCGAGATACGAGGTTTGGTAGTTTCACCGTCGCAATGCTCCATTCTATGTTGCCAATTATGTGTCGCTTATATTCAAAAGAAAAATTGAAAAAGAGGGCCGATTACGTCTTGTTTGGCTTCGGCTGTGTTGATCGCGTGGACCTTGAAGCACCATTACAAATAAGACGAACGGAACCAACTTAACATGGAAATACAGCAAGGGAAAGGGAAAGAAAATTGATGGCGGCGCAGAGATACAACTATTCGTATTCGACGGATGTCCATGTTGCATCTGCAAAATTGAAGGCGCGATGGCGCGAGACGTGAACTCGCAATGCTCCATTCTATGCTGTCATTTAGGTGTCGCTTGTTTTCAAGAGAAAAGTTGAAAAAGAGGGCCGACTCCGTCTTTTTTTAGTTTCGGCTGTGTTGATCACGTGACCCCTTGCAGCACCATTACCAAAGGATCGCATTTAGCAAAAAGGAACCAGCGCAATTACAGTGTTGTTAAAATGATGTCTCTTCATGTATGTATGTTATAAGCCGATTTTACGGCACGCTAGGGCGCTCTGCGATGCCTACTGTCCACAGGAATCTGTCATGGTAGAGATCCTCCGGAAGCTGTTGTCTCTTCATAACTACCTAAAACATATCCCAAAATAGTAAGTAGTTTTTGCATCCCGTCAAAAAATTGTTAATTTTAAAGGGAAATAATTGTGTTAATTTTAATACTGTACATATATTTAGTATTTTTAAAAGGAAAAAAGAATTTGCACGATTTTGAAAACACTTTAATCACGCTGGTTACTTTTTGCTAAATGCGATCCAAAAAAAACAAATGGAACCAACACAACATGGAAATATAGAGCAACGGGGAGGACACGCGTTGATGACGGCGCAGAGATACAACTATTCGCACTCAATGAATGTCCATGTTGCATCTGCAAAATTGAAGGCGCGATGGCGCGAGACGTGAACTCGCTAATGCTTTGCCCTATGCTGCCTACAAGGTGTTGCACAGATTCGGGAAAGAAGTTCAAAACGAGGCTCGAATGCGTCTCCTCCTATCTTCGGCTGTATTGACACTCAATTGTTGTCTTATTTTCAATTCCATGTCTGAATCTTTTTTTAGGATGTATTGTAGACCTTATTCTAATGGTCATTTTACACCGACTTGCATAACTCCTCCAGGAGAAAAAGTCGGGCTCATTCGACCCGGCCAGGGATTTATAGGGGTGTAAATTGTCAAACAAAATTCCTGGATCCTCGTTTTTTTCTTTTTCTTCAGCTTGATGTTAAAATCTTTTTTTACGATGGGTTTGTAGACCTGGATCTAAAGCTCGAATATACCGGCCCCATACAATCCGTAGGCCACGTACCTACTTTAACATGGCTCAGGTCAATTTGACCCGGCTTGAGAATTTAAGGGTTACTCGAGGGGCTTTATTGGAGGATATAAGGCGCATGAGTTTCTAAAAAAATTGAAATATTCATTATTTCAAGTAAAACTAGTCATAGTGTATACTCTTTGAAAAATTTGCTCCCGAATTCTAATTTTTAAGCATCAGAAAGTCCGTTTGAACTTCTCTCCGCCATGATGTTCCATGTAATTTCGAAACTTGATACATGTATTTATCAAGATAGCAAAAACTGCACTTATGCGCCTAGTCTTCCAAGCCACTCGATCGCAGGGCCGGATTAACGGGGTGGCCACGTGGGCCGCGGCCCATGGCGGCAAATTTTGCATTTTTTTAAAATGTAGGTATAAAAAAAATCGTATCAGAAAAAAAATTACAAACGAGAAAATCATCTTTCGGTGACACAAGAGACAGCACCTTTAATTAGTCGAGTTAAGAGAGGAACCAAACACGCAATTTGGCATGGAACGGCGCGGCGCAGAGAGCAATGATGATGAGGACTTAAGATGAAAGGAGAAGTCCTCAGCGCGGCGCACGGTGAATCGAGTCAATGAGAAAGGTCAGACAAAATTTGAACACTTGAAACTTTAAACACTTAAAACTCCGTTTATACAAAAATCTGATATTCTGCAAGTGGTTCTATTGGTTTTCTCGTGAAATTTTCTCCCAGTATCACCCCTTGGACTTTAAAATGTGACGAAGTAAACATCAACATTTGCAGTTTTTGTCAAAAATTTCATGTCCGACCTCTTTAATTGACTCGATCCACTATGCAGCGGTCGGCATGTAACACGTATTAGCACCTACAAGACTGCATGAATACTTCACGCATTGCGTCTAACACAGTGCGTTCAGCGGTGGTCGGCGTGAAACGCACAGCGCCTACAAGACTGTAGGAATACTTCACACATTGCGCCAAACACAGTGCGATCAGCCCGGCGCGCGGCGTTACGGCGGAAGTTAAAATTATCAAATCACATTTATGTTTGTTCTTTCATAATTTTTTCGTTCATTTCTTATGAATGGAAGGCCTTGTCCACACAGAGATAGGTTTACGGAACTTCTTTCGCGCAAAGTTTCGTGAACTTTTGCTAGTAGTGTTGACAGGGCTTTCGCAAAAAATGTGCCCAACACGAGTAAAAGTAAATGAGTCTTATGCACCCCTCCGGCACGTTCAATTGGTGTTTTTATTGATGTTTCAAGACGAACGAAAGAGGAGCGGCAAAATACAGGCGGCCCATGGGCGGCAAGTAGGTAAATCCGGCCCTGTCCTGCTCAGTTGGAGCTTTGCGAAGCGAGGTTTTCATCGGCTCGATAATAGCTCACAGAGCGATGTGTCTAAGTGTTCCTCGTATACATAAGTAACTATTCGCTTTCCCTGGTAAGTCTGTGGCCTATGCGGGAAAATAGAAGGCGAATCTTATGTGGACGATATCTACCAGTAGTTTTACGCATCACTGGCGAATGGTTCTAACATACTAAGTTTATGAAGCTCGTCAAGTATGATTTTCGAATGGTCACTCATTCGCGCTCTTCTGTTGTTTTGCTGTCTATGCGGCGAGGTTGAAAACAAACTTCTGAGGAATGAAACCTTTACTAGTGAGGCTCAAAACGTCGCGTTGTTCATCGGATGAGTCAAATCTCGATGTGATTGTGTGCGTTTTTACCAAAATATATGTATCTTTAGTCATAAAAAAGTCATGTTATCTGCCCGTCACGCTCCAACAGACATGTTGAGCTCAAAATTGCAAAAGAAATCGTCAAAATTTCATATCACCCTGGTAAAAATTGGCAGTAGAATCTGTGTTCCAAAATACCATAGACCTACAGCCGGCTGTAAGATTTCCAATAGCTTCTATAGCCGGCAACACAATTTCTAATAGCCTTTTATAGCCGATGGCGATTAAGCAACAGCCTGGCGATAAAGTGTATGCTAAACGTTACTAATTACGGATGCTAGGGCTTAGTGAGTTTTTGGACTACCGCTCTCTTTTTGGGCCGCAGTATCTTGATTTAATTTGCGAGGAAAGCTCCATTCTTTTGAAGGATGCCTGACATTCCTAATATGTTGGAGCGCCTTCAATTTCGTATGATACTGTGCAATACCTCTGGTGTGAAATAGTTGCTTCAAGCGCCGCGGTACGCTGCGGCGGGCGGGCAGCCAGCGCTGAACGCGCATTGGCGCCTGCAAACCTAACAGGGATACTTCACGCATTGCGCAATGCGTGAAGTATCCCTGTTAGGTTTGTAGGCGCCGCCGCTCCGCTTTGTGTTAGGCTCTAATATTTAATCTCGCGGAGTCAGCGTTTTTCAACTCATGATTTTGAAATATTTGCACACTCTGTATGGATTATTCTCATTTTAATTGATAAAAAAAAATATGTGGTAAGGGAAAATATAATGTGCGTTTTGTAAATATTAAGGTGATTCCGCACAAACTTAAGGATTTACAAAGCACAAGACTTTCTACTCAATTTCTTAAAGCATTTTACAGCCGATGGCGAAAAAGCAACAGCCCGGCGATAGGAACTATAGCCCGGCTGTATAATTTTTTATCGCTTTGTGTAGCCCGGTCGTATGATTTTTTCCACTTTCCACAGCCAGCTATATGATTTTCTATCGCCCTCTTCAGTCGGCTGTAAGAACTCCTATGGTATTTTGGAACGCAGCTCCTATCGCCAATTTTTACCAGGGCAGATTGACATAAACGTAGGGGCAGAAATCAGTACAGTAGTGGGTGGAAGATTAAGGCCTTTCCTCACATCTTTTCGTTAACCCTACTTGCGATGGAATCATTGCAGTTATCAAAAGTGGATGTACATATTTTTAGACTGTCATATACTTCTTTTAGTTCAAAATCGAGTCACTTTTTCACTTTATTCAGGACGTAAAGAATAGACCGTCATATACTTTTTTAGTTCAAAATCGAGTCACTTTCTCACTTTATTCAGGACGTAAAGAAACTCATCTTTCCCTCTCAGGCAAATGCCATGGACACGCATCATCATAAGCATGTTTCAAAAAAATGTTTGAAGGTAGCTGAAAAAATCGTAAAATTTCCTTTTTTCATCAAAATAGAGGGCAAAATTTCCCCATAGATAGTTAGTAGTAGTAGTGGTAGTTTTCTACTGTAATATTGAAGTCTGAGAGACCCCTACATTGAAAGCATATAATTCTACCATTTTCCTTGAAACCGTGATTGATGGAAGACTGTCCAAAACATTGGATGGATGACGGTTATACGAATTTTTCCCTTTACTTATAAAAAGGTTAGGATTCTCAATATGTGGGGGATAAAAAACAATGAAAAATATTGAAATTAAAAATTTTATAAAAGCAAAACAAATACTATACCAAAGAAATAGACAATGTTTAAAAGTACAACTTTTTCCCACTGAACGAAAATTACAGAGTGATAGCACAATAAAATAGGTGAATCGATTATGATACCATACCAAGCTAACATGGTTACAAGGAAGCATGCGTCAAAAGATGAATATAAATTTTTACAAAATTGGTCTTCTTGCTTGATGGAATCAGTGCATCAAAATTTGTATTTGCTGAGAGGCGGCTTGCCTCAGATGCTTCTTTGTTTTTTCTTCTTTCGTCTAAAGGTGAGGTACAAATTGATGAAACAATTTCACCATAGGAAGGCATGATTAAAATTCACTCACTCGGATTACATTTGATGTAGATGAGGCACTTCAGTTTCTAAAGAAAATTGAGTTATGAATACATTACAAAATATTCAGGGCTTACTCAAATTGAAACAGCCTCAGTTTTATACGTTAAAATGGTCATTATAATCAAAATTTTCGGATAGTGTATTTGCACACATGCTTCTGAATAAAAATACGGTGTGAAAAACAAATCTTGTACTGTTGTTGTTGCCTTTCTTTAGTACTAATCTATTTTTAATGTTTTCAATTTTGAAACAAACATAAAATTTCGACAATTTTAAACAACATATTACACATTGATTGGTTCCCAGAACAATTAGTTGATAAAATGCAAAATACGCTGATCTAACGGTAACGTGCTTTGAAATATTGTATCTCACTCCCCCTTTACCTAAGTTCTCTTCATTCTTTGAACGGGACAATAACAGGTAAGCAAGCAGCAGCTTGGTCTTCCATAAGAAACTCCTTACAAATCCAGTGCAAATGAGATCAAGAGGCAGTCAGGTAAAAAATAAGTGAGTATAAATATTTCAGCACAGACCATTGCTCTTTTTTAGCTATTCAAGGATTTATTTTATAGTACTTAAGAAATGAGACGAATTTAAAAATTTTAGAAAAATAATTACGCCTCATCCTGTTAACATAATAAAAGACATTTACTGATCCACTTAAAACTACAGCGTGAGACGGAAACATCACATTGCAAAATGAAATGCACACTGTGCACACAATAACCGATACGATTTATGTTGAAATATTTTTTTCTTCTGAATAGCACTACTGGAGAACGTCATTACTCGATTTCAGACTATGAAATTTTTTTATTTTTTTCCTTTTTTCTATCCACCAAAATACACTTTTAAAAGATAATCTGATCATACATGTACTTATTTTCCAATATGAGTTTCCCAAGGGATACCTTCACTTATTCTCGGATCATAAAAGAATGACTGCTAGTTTACTTTGAATGAAACAATCTTTTATAGAGACAAATCCGTAATACTGACATGGAAATTACATCGTTCTTGCTACAAATAAGGGGTAAAACAGCACCATCCTTCCTTTGAGTGGTTAGTTTTCATTTTCATTATTATGAGAGCAGTTTTAAAGTGCATTATTTGCAGTTTCAGCTTTGAGAGTACTGATCCTTCTTACACTGGACGGATGAGAGTGCTAATGTGTGTTCAGAAAAAGTTCTGAGCACAGATATAAAAATATTTAAATTTATTTGAGAAAGAAAGAAAAATAACAGGTAATGGAAAATTTGTAAGGCTTAATGAGATAAGGCAGATAAATTCATGACAAATAAATCAGATTTCCCCTGCAAAAAATAACCTAGCTTATTTAAGTCCCCCCCTCCCCTTGCATCACAAAAATGTTAAAGAAAACAATAATTGAACAATAAAAGAGCCTCTTAGGTTCTTTGTGAGATATGGCTTTGTATTATTTATTGGACAAGAATCATCTGAAAAATAAACCAATTTGAGTGACATATGTTCTGACTTTTATCCTTTCAAATGCAGCACAATAGCCAATAAATAATGTAACTTTGAACTTTCAGTTTACCAAAAAATACTGCCCTCCCTTTAGATGCATGAGATTATTCATAAAAAATCCCAAAGTGCTTAAGTATATTCAATTCTGTCAAACAATAAAATCACTTAGAGGTGTGGCTGATAGGAGAACATAGAAATATTTAATGAATTTGCATGACATTGTTATTGCAAGTTTATGTATGGACAAACAGGAATTAGCTATGAATTTTAAGCACATGTCATTGAAGAATTGTTCTAAAATTGACTTCATGTCCGTATTTCTTTTTACAGCCAGGGACAGGAGACTGATAGGCTGTTTTGTTTTATCATTGTCTTTGAAGGAAATAATACAGCAGTTCTTAAAAAAACATCGTTAATTACAAAAAGTTATGAGAATCCAACTTTACCATACATATATTAAATTACCTATGAGTATCACACACAAAAAGATCTATCAAAATCAGCAGATTTATTTAAAAAAAAAAAAAAAAAAAAAAAAAAAAAGGTATGCACTAGAAGAGGGGCAAATGATTCTTTAAGCTTCATTCGAAAAAAAAGTTTTGATTGAATCATGATGAAACTGATTTTATCTAAAAAAGGAAAACAGTAACCATACCGTTCTTATCTAAAAGAGGAGATTTCTTAATTAAGGCGCTGTGTTGTGAAAAAGCTCTAAAAATATTTAATTAATTATAAACTAAAAATTGATGTAAAATTATTCAAAGATATTTGAATTTTGTTGATGAGTGCTAGACATAAATCAGTCTAAAATTAAGGCAGTTTCTGAAACTTGGAAATCCAAATTCCAGGCATTACTATTAAGTAAAATATGGAACGTATAGTTAATAACTATTATAAAATATAGCATTGGAATATTTACACATAAACAACTACGTAATATTGGTACACGAGCAAAGAAAGAAGTGAGATTACGAGAACCAAGGAGTCTACAATGCATAATTAAGTCAATCTAATGAAAAGTAACAAAAACTCAGTCGATGTAAAATCAGCACAGTAGATTCTTACATAAAGTGTACTAAGGACGTTGAAGATGGTAGAAAAAATGAATAAGAGAACATTCTGCTTAGGTGCCACATACTTTTTGCACAGAGAAGGTAAAGTTATTCCCTTCCTTGAATAAAATAAGTTGAGGTGAAAACACTAACCACTTCATGATCTAGAATAAATATTTCGCAAGTTCAAATTTTTTGTTACAAAACAGGATGTTCGCAAAATTAAAAGGCAACAGTAGAAGAGAAAACTTTATACCAGAATGAGAAACATTTCACTAGAAACAATTAAACATCCGTGTTCATTTTTGCAGGCTGGTTTACAATACTTGAAATTGTATACTTCCTCTTTCAAAGAGTTTGAATGTTGAAAAAATTACATCTCATAATACATACCACTCCGCATACACAATAAAACTACCTTCAATGGAAAGAAAAGCATTTAGTGGTTTTGCATTTGACAGTTATAGCATTGTAGACACTAGGACAGGAAATGGTCAAGAGATAAAATCACGGTAAACAAACAAATTTGTAAAAAAATATAAAAATGCTTAAAAATGGATAAGAAAAAACCAACACTGAGAGAAATAGATCTTGGAAAATATTTGAAACAAATTCAAATCAGTGTAAGGATTACCTAAATATGTATCTAAGAATAACAAGAGATGAAAAGGACTATTTCAGCATCTTCTGGAACTTTTAATGAATTGACCGATACATAAAAAAAGTTTCAACACAAAATTAGGCATAGTGTTAGTGCAAGTTATGACCAGTAGGACTTGAAAGCTTGATTTTGTTACTTGCTTAGAAGCTTAACATAATTTTTTGAAAAACACTGTCTGAAACCAGAGGTTAAACACAGGCACAGTTGTTCTAAAAGGTTTAGGTACACTTACAGCTTCATTCTCCGATGCACTCCCTAGATTTCCAAACGCAGTACCTGGATGGTAACCTTCAAAATTGAAAATAGAGGATACAGATCTAATGTTTTAATTTGGTAACTGATACTTCTTTTACTGGTCCAAGTTTACATTTTGTCCCCTTCAACTGAGTGAATTTACAGGAAGTTTCTTGTTTTTCGTTCGAATCAACAAATACAAAAACAATCGGCCAATCCATTGAAAACTGCTCCAGAAGTGCACTAGAATAATTCACTTAGCAAACTCCTTATGCATAGCCGTTATGTTCTTGAGGGTACATCTGCATGATGAGTCCGGGTTTTTCCTGCCTGAAACGGTAACCCCGTCGGGCATCTTTGTAGATGTACCATGCTGCAGCAGCGTGCAATAGAAATGCAACGATACAGAGGTAGTAGGAACCAGAGAGGTGGTTGAATTTAGGAAATTGAATCCAATCCTGGCGCCAGCAGTTCAGCGGGAAGAGAGCGACAGCAAGGAATAACAAGAATGCTGAAAAAGAGAGGAAAGTATTTTTTATTACAATTGGACAAATTAATTCAATACATCTTACCTTAAGCTTCTTGATTGTGAGAAAATTCACAGTATACAGAAAAAAAAGTTGCACTAAGTGGTAGGTACTTCTCATTCTTGGTTAATTTTTCTCTTTTTCCTTCAAAGGTGAATGTTTATACTGCTGAGATATTTTGGTACTTAAGTAATGATCAAAATATAACAAAAGCATTTTGCTTAGCTAGTAAATAGTTTCATAAAATAAGATAAAAAATAGGTTTAATCTTATACGAATTAAATATTGTGATCGAGAAGGATCGAAAACTTGAAAACTAGGATTTCCCGTCTCCTGGAAGTTGAAATATTAATTAATTGTTGATTGATCGTGCCGATAATTTTACAACATTTTGTAAAAAAAGTAAGAGAGAGAGAAAAAAAATTCAAATCCGGTTCATTGTGCAACTTTCGCATTATCCGTTCCTTTTTCACAAATTTTACAAGCCCCCCCCTCCATTTGGACTCATCACTTACATTCAGAATATACTGCAGATAGCGTTGATCAGATTATACATTCCAATGCTTGTTGGGAAATCTCTTCATGAATTGTGACAAAACCTTTCAAATTTTGCAGCCTTTCTTCAAGGAACCACCCTAAAAATGGATGTTTTTTGATCCTTCATTGTATAGTTGAGCATGATATGTAATTAAAATTTACCTTTTTCTTGTCCTACCTTTTTACTGAGGGATCTTCCAAGAGAGCACGTTATCTACCAGGTTTCCCCCATACTTCTTTGCATGAAATGTATGCCTGATTAAAGTGGAATATTGCACATCAAGATTAAGTAGACCAAACAATTTTTTAGAAAAATACATGGAGTACATATATTAAAACTTACTTGCTACAGCTGTTGCGATGAAGCATCCTCCAGACAAAAGGTACTCGTAGGTTAGAACAAAGTCTCTCGGATAACGAATGACAATACCAGCAATAACAAACTGAGCTCCAAAAGATAAAATTATGGCAAAGAGGACACACATCTGAATGAATAATAGCCATCCTGAAATTATAGGAAGATGTCATGAATAATTATGGACACAAAGTAAAATGTAGATTCCAACATTTTCAACAGAATCCTTTGGAAAAATATTCTCAAGAAAGGATATTCCTCATAAACTACTTCACAACATTCATCCATTCACAGTTGGTTTATTACAACTGAAGTTCCTAGTTGTTCCTAGTTACACGTACAGCAGGAATTAAAAGTAAGTAGTAATTGCAAAGTAAAAATTATTGGTAGAGTAATCAATGGAGTTTATCTAGAGAGAGAAAGAGAAAATAAACGGATGTTCACAACACTCCACTGAAGTTGATACTTTAAGGGCAACCAAAATATTTCGGAAAAGAAACTTACTTAGAAAAAATGTAAAAATGGGACTACTTAAAGTGAGTATTATTGAGGTATGCTTGACCACCATGGCTGTGCTTCATGGTAAATTATGCTACTCATCTAATATGTTAATTAATGACAAGTCTGATGGTTTATAAAAGACTCAAAAAATACTAACATAAACACACAAAGAAAATGTTAAAGAAGAAAAAGGCAAATGAAATCTTCCAAACTCCAAAATTGACGACAATTTTGGGAACACATACTACTAATTTGAGGTCCATAAAGGTACCTATCTAGGATTTTTTATTCAGGTTTTGCATTCATTTTCATCCTTCATATTTTCTCCAAACAAAACATCACTACTAGATAGCCATGACTGCATTTCGTTTTGACCAACGTATGTATCTGCTAATAATTTCTGTGTGTGATTGATTTGGGCATGGATTCAGCTATACCTCAAAATTTCAGGTGGAATATTTGAATGAACAACGACAAAGTCTCTTCCTATGAGCAGAAAATTCTGGACCATAAGGTCCTTGGTTGCTCGCTAGATACGGACTTATATCAAGGGCAAAAATATTTTAGCGATTCCTTGATCTAAGTTTAAGGTATCCTTATGGAGAGTCTGTTTGTCTACAAGGCAGAGCTGGTCCAAAAAATGAGCATACAATTTACACCTAAGTATTGTCAACAATTTTGATTCAGTGTACAAAAATATAGCCGCTTAATAGTTTTCTACCTTAGGTTGGCATACATTTTTAACAGAAGTTTCCTACACTCCGGCAACAGACTCTTGAAAACTGGTTTTCAGTGGAACTAGTCTAAAAGATGGTACAGTACAGTATGCATTCCATACCAGAAAAAAATTAACTAATGATTTTCAGGGATTCTACTGTTTGCCATACAAGATGTACGTGGATGAAAAATTGCAGATTATCAAATATTTTAAAAATTGGTGATCAGCGAAATTTGCTGTCTGAAAACTTCAAAATTAGAGTGGCAGTACTCATATTAGTATGGCCTGCTTTGAACACCTACCTGGTAATAACCATTCACGAATGAAATAGACATCGTTGCTGTAAATTGCATAGCAACCATCAAACAGGATGTCAAACTGCAAATTTGGGTGGCGATAGTGCTCAAAACAGTATTCCCATATGCCCATTGTCTTGAACGGGCTCGAGGACTCATCATAGGAGGAGATCCAGTATGGGCTGCAAAAATCAAAAAAGAAAAAAATGATATAATGTAGAATTGAAAAATTGCCAGAGCGAGAAAGAGAGAGAGGAAGGGTGGGTACACATACAGAATGGAGTCGTAATGATGAAAGACAAGCAGCTGTAATTTTGTACTAAAATCTATTCCTCAGTTGGTAGGTGCCTCTTTCAATATCCGTAGTAGGTGTTAGCAAAGCAATGCAAGAGAAACAGACTCTTGATCAACTTACATTGAATACTTGATTGAAATAAGAGTCATGATTAAAAAACTTAATGCTACAGTAGTTACTTAATTTTTCTGAATAATTAAGTTCTTTTATAAACAGGAGTGCTAAATGTTAAAAATACAGAGTTAAAATTTTAGGGAGCCGATGACTCCAATCTTTTCAGAACATTAAGCAATATCCACCCATGACAATTTGCACGATTTTCCTCAGATTATCATCAAAATTGAGGATTAGTAAATTCACCTCCAGCAGTTGATAAACAGATGTTTATTCCAGTGCCTTATGGTAAATTTCCTGGCAAATTATTGATGGCTTGTTTGTATTACTCATAGAGGGGACAGCGTGCAGAGCTTCAGTACTACTGTTGAGAGAAAAAAAAAACTTTAACTTCAACGTGGAAGTTTTAACCCTTTGAGTACCACGCCCGAGAATACTCGGGTTGCGGCAAGCCACCGTCACAGACCACACCCGAGTATTCTCATGCTGCGCCTCGCGTTCGTATTTCCCGCTCTAGCTCCCTTGTTTTCCAATGAAATTAAGCATACAGCATAATGCACTCTGTCGGCAAGGATATGAACTACATCTTTATCTTATCCTTGACAGAGAGCGCCACTATCGGTGGCCGTATTCCTAGCCCGGCCTTCAAAGCAGGGCTGCCGATTCGTGAGTAATTACTCACATCGTGAGTAATTTGAGCACCGGTGAGTAAAACGTGAGTAATGAGTAATTGGTGAGTAATCCGACGATCCGTGAGTAATCGTGAGTAATGCAAAATCCATGGGTAATTCTCAGTAATTCTCCATTTTTGGCGCTATTTGTGTGAGTAATCGGTGAGTAAAATTTAAAACGATGAGTAATCGGTGAGTGAAAACAATGTCAATGTGAGTAAAATCGGGAAAGGGTGAGTAAAAAGTGAGTAAAATTGAGAACGGTGGGTAAAAGTTAGTAAAATCGGGATCAGTGAGTAAATTTTAGATTGGTGAGTAGCGTGTGAGTAAAAAATTCGTGAAATGTGAGTCCGAGTATCGGCAGCCCTGCTTCAAAGGGTTAAGCATTAAAGCTGAAGGATTATATTGTCACCAACCTGCAAAAGGCTATCAGAAGGATCAGTCCTGCGATGTAATTCAGCATCCCACCAATCTCTAGGGATTCTGAAAAAAAAGGAATCTTGTTAGGAGAATGATACGGATTTTCAAAGTAATATGGAAGGCGCTTAAGTTTATGCTAAACTTAAAGCATTGACCTTCAATTAACAATAATTCCTCACATGAGCTCATTCTGGTTTTCATGGAAAACACAGTACATAGCGGACTCCACGCAGACTGAGATTACTCAGTTAGTTAGAGTTAGTTTTAGCCATAGTTAAATCTGCCATCATGTTTCTTGCGTGTAGTTCCCATACAAAATAGACTTCAGACAATCTTATTTCACAATGTAAAATCGCATAAACTTTCATACCATGGACTCTACCCAGGTGCAAAAGGATGCTTTAGCAACTGAATTTCCCTCACAAACCTTGTTTTTGAAGGGGAAAAGAGACACAAAAAGAAACAGAGCTCAAAACATCGTACCAGTGTTTGTAGATGCTAGAATTTCCGAGGGAAAAATTCACTGCAGACCAAACGGAACTCTGCAGGGCTAGGTATGGAAGCTCCATGAAATTATGTTAAAAATCTTACAAGGGAATTGGCATCCATGTTCTCCCTCAAACTTTCCCGGGCCGCTTGACATCCTGTGAGGGGAAACTGCTATGTTTCGCAATTTAACCTCGCTTCTGGAGTCACTTAACATTTAAATGATAATGTTTAAAGTCTGGCTAAGGCTCATCGTCAAAAAATATCGCAAAATGAATATACGAAAGAATGAATATACGGAAAGAATCACAAATTGATGGTGATTGGTAAATTAATATCTAATTGATGGAAGTACTTACGGGATGCTTTGGGGTAGTCATTTTTGGTGTCAGTCGTCATGATGAACTGGAAGGTGGTGGATTAAGTAATAAAACAGCTCTATCCAGGTGGACTGATTTGTCTGCACTAATAGGAAACCAAAACGATTGACGATTGGGAGACTTTAATAAAATTAAATTTCAGTTCTCGAACACTGGACAGACGACAGAACAATGATAATAATATGGCGATCAAAACAAAACAATCAGCGGCACGCCTACCTGCGATTCATCAACATTCATCAAATTGGAATTTTCCAACCTATTTTTCCAATTATTCCTCTATTCGAACAGAAGGAATCTTAACCGCAAATTCTGAACCAGACGCTTTGATTGGTCCAGAGCGGTTCATTCCAATTGTTCCGAGTTGAACCAAAACAAGCGGGAATTTCAAATAATTCCGGATATCCTGTCTACCAAATCGTTTCCGTTTCCGGTAAACAGTGTTGTCAGTTTTACGAGCATTTGATAAATAAAACTGACAACACTGTTTACCGGAAACGGAAACGATTTTTAGACGGGATATCCGGAATTATTTGAAATTCCCGCTTGTTTTGGTTCAACTCGGAATTAATGGAATGAACTGCTCTAGACCAATCAAAGCGTCTGGTTCAGAATTTGCGGTTAAGATTCCTTCTGTTCGAAAAGTGGAATAATTGGGAAAATGTCGCAATTTGCACCAATCACAGATTAGTGACAGTCAGGTGATAGTAATTTGTTTTGGTTTTTGTTTTAGGTTAGGATTTCTGCCTTAAGTGAAGTGATATCCGATAATTAAAAGAAATTTACAATTCGCATACAAAAGTTTTGCCACGAGCTGTCGTGATTTTACCTCGTATTCCTAAGGAAAAAAGGCTCAAGTTACTGAATAAAGAGCAAGGTTTTTTTTTTCATCTGGTGTCCAGAGAAATGTTAGTAGTTTTTCAAATGCAAAGGAGACTCGATTAGAACAGTTTTCGTCTCAACACATGAGCCTCTGTCTTCCAACAGTTACAGCCTACATAATTTCAGTACCCTGGAAATATGGCTCAAATTCCAGGGGTTAATCCTGATGATATCAAAACCGTGAGTATACATTTGTCATTCAAGTTAATTTTTTCTTCAGTTGAAAACTGATGCCCTTTATTGCGTGCAGCCCATTGTAAGGAAGCGCTAGGTAGGCATCCAGCACCGTTCTTGCAGAGGTAGCAGTTTCTTCAAGGTGCCCAGTCTTGGGCTTTAGCTGTGGGTGAATTAGTGTGCTGTAAATATTACTACGTTCCATGAATATCTTCCAAAATCTTTACTTTTAACCTCCAAAGAACAATATCTATTTACTTATGTAAATCTAAATTATTGAATCTATTCAAGCACAAACAGGATTCCACTCTTGAAGAAATCATCATGTTTGCTGAACCAATTGAATTTGAAAAGTACTTTTCTCATACCTAGTTAAATTCTGTTACAATCTGTTTGAAGTTCGCAATTGTTTCATTGCAAATTTAAATCAAACGCAGACAATCTGATGAAGCATCGAAATGCTTCAGTTTGACAGACAGGGGTTATTGCCAATTTTTGGATGGACAATGAGAACTTATTGTGATTTGTAACCCAGTGGAAAGGATATATTACACGTCAGTTAAAGTTAATTTGCAATAAATTGTTAGTTGAACCATCATTGAGTTCAATCTGAACTAGGTATTTGACTCACTAACTCAAGGTGACAAAAAAGCTCTATCCTCATTTTACCCCAGCTAATGTATGTAACAATCATGGTAAATCATCCTCCTTTTTACTCTAAAATGCGGCCAACTTTTTTGACTTGAATTGCCAGCCGCTAATTTAGAGCAGTAGGTACTTCCTGTTCTGAAAAACATGCAGGATGTGTATCTGAAAGCTTCAGGTTCACTCACAGGAAAATTTGTACAGTTTCATTAGTGAATTGGCGCTAAATAAGTCCTTTTATACTGATATTTGAATCATTCATCATAGTAATAAAATGCTTCTATTTGTTCCCAGTTTCGAGAATTCTTGGTTTCCTACAACAAGCTATCTGAGCTGTGCTTTATGGACTGTGCTAAAGATTTCACAACAAGAGATGTGAAAAGTGATGAAGTAAGTTACTTTGTATCCTTTCATCATTAGAGTCCGCGCCAAATAAGTTTACGCTCTTCAGAGTGCCGCAGAAGATTATCAATGCCAGTCTAGCATTGACAGTCAATGCAAGAATCAAGATGGCGGATATTCTTTTGTAGACTAAACTTCTTTGATGTGGACTCATCTAATCTCATATCAAGCCTAAAGTAGAAGTCTGGCCTCCTACCTATTTACTCTGATGGTAATAATTTACTGTCTGGTTTAATTTATGATGGAATCGCAGGACTCTCCATGTCCTCTATCTTCAAGTGCCTAACTCTGAGCACCTTGCACTGAAGGACTTTCTTGCCAAGGCTGTCAAGTGATGTGACATGCAATTCAGTAGATAAACAATGTTTTTGGTTAACAAGATCTACCCTTGTGATCACTAATCACTGCTTAACGCACGAATAGCTGAGCACCCAATGCAAAAATAAGGTGCTTAACTGCTCAGTAGAAAATGCTGAATCCACTAAAGTAAAGTTTTCAGTTTTTATTTTTTAATTTTTGGATGATGTCCATGTTCTGAAAAAACCAACATTGACCTAAGTAAATAATTCTTTGTATTTTCAAGGGGTCAGCAATCAATCATGGTCATACTCCTTTTTCTGGTGCTGCACCGTTTGAAATTTTACTTTCAGGTCCATGCCAGCAGATGTATTCTAATGAAAGGAAAATAAATTTGTTTAATTTTAGTATGTGGTCCCTTTTCCTAGGAATAATTTACATGCCGTTTTTGTTTCAGGAGAAGTGCGCCCTTAACTGTATGGAGAAGTATTTAAAACTTAATCAGAGGGTATCTCAACGTTTCCAGGAATTCCAAATGGTTGCCAATGAAAATATGATGGCATCTAATCAAAAACTTGGGTTGAACTTGAAATAAGGATTTTTGTAAATACCTAGTTGCATAATTTGTGTCCCCATATTTTTTTAGGAAAATCAGAAACAAATGTCATTCATTTAAAAAATTTTTTATCCTAAAATATTGTAGTTTTTAGGTTTAATGTTAAAAATAAATTTTTGTTAACAGTCTATGTACGCATTTCTTATTTTCTATTGATAATGAACTTTGAACTTCAAATATAAGCTCTACAGCCCATCTGAGAAAGCTACAGAGAACAAAAAAATGTAAGACAACCGAAAAAATTGACAATATTTTTATTTGTCAAATTGTTGATTGTACAGAACAGAAAAAAAGGGAGAAAATGCAATCAAAACTTAATTCATATGCTTTAAAGTGAGGCAAAATCAACTTGATATTTTTTTACTAGAAAATGTGAAGCTGATAAGAATATCAATAAAACGATCAAGTGATTAAAATATGTAGAATTACAATTAATACATAAACTGGTACCCGGCTGTGAGAAGAAATAATTTGCTGAACTTGGCAGTCCTAACTCACCAAAATACGCCTCCTTTGTGAATCTGAAACAAAACAGACGAGAAAATGAAAATGATTTTTAGAAGAAGATTGATACATAAATCAGCTCTTGCAAAAACACCCGGAGTTTAATCTTCCCAATTTTGAGAACACTGCTGACAACAGCATGGGCTATGTAAGATGAAAGAATTACTGAACAACTACCATCACACTTATAGTCTTATTTAAAGAGTGACAAATGGGTGGGGACAAAGAATGTTGGTGCAAGACTAGAGGGTTTGTTAATATGTAGTACCATCCAGTACCAGTTTGGTTGAAAATTCAGTCTGAACATCGCCTATCCAGAATTTCTTAACAATATTTTGAGGAAAAAAGTAAAAATTGGGAAAAGCAGACATTGGCTGTTACTGCAAGAGCTTATTCACACAATAAAAGTGAGGTAAAAAGGGACACAGCAACTAAGTAGGTAGTAAATTTACAGAACCTAAGAAGGAGAGGATTTAAATCAAGTATGAAGACAGTACAGAAAAATAAAATCATTACATCAGTGTTCCAGGTGAAACTCACAAAACTACTATTACAAAATGAGACAGTCAACTATGATTAAAATCGGTTTCATACTTGCAAAATAGGAAGGAGGATGGGCAAAGTTAATTGCCATAGCTTTGAATGATGCTTTGCACTGGAGTAATTTTACTAACCCTGCTGGAAGATTAGCGATAAGAAAGCTATGGTTTGAGCCCAGCTCTGTCACCTTCGGTTTAAACTGATCCTCAAGTTAAAATCTGACAGACACCGCGAGCACCAGTTAAACTAGTACTGGAGGTCAGGATTTATTTTACCACTTGTCCCAACTAACAAGAAAATAAGACCAGGTCGGTGGTGAGGGATCTTATTTTCCACTGTAAAATTTTCTTTGTCTTTTCTTAAATGAATGGTAGAAGAAAATCTGGCAATTTTTACGCAAGGTTCATTCTAACAGCTCAAAGACCAAAAAAGATGAGTCCTGGAGTTTTAAGACAAAAACTCTTGGGTTGGAGATATTCATGGTTTAAGTTTTTGATAAAAGAAAATTTTCTCACTGAAGATAAGGTCTTTCTTTTGTAGATCTGTTATTCAGTCAATCCAATTTACTGTGCTAGCCTTTAAAACGTCAAAAAAGGCATTTAAGTTTTGCTATGTTATAGGAATAAAATTTCCCGAAAAAAATATTTAAATCAAAAGAGATTATCTCCATTGCGACCTTAGAACTGAGTTGCAGAAGAAAGCACGCATGACAGAGCCATGCTTATGCTACCATGGGAGGTATTTCAAGATTCAAGCTTGACCTACTGATAGAGACATTCTTTAAAAAATAGAAATCATCTGCAAAGAAGTAAAAGTCTTCAGCAAAAGTTGTGTTTTTGCAGGTCAAGATTTCTCTTACTTCTATTGTTAATTACTGAAAAATTGGTGAGGGAAGGGATATTACTGTTTTGCTCTTAAGCAAATCAGATCACTGATCAGTTAACACCTTCCTTGAGAATGAAGTAATTTTAACAGAGATTCTTAAGTGCTGAAGTATTTTGAATGGAGAAATAAAATAATTGTTCTAGGTAGAAAACTGAGTAAATATCTTAAAGGATATTGATTTTATTCTTAGTGATAGAACAAAACAGCACTTCGTAAAGTTATCACATTGGGAAAAATTGTGAAAACCCTGCATGGCAGCTATTGATGTAGAGGAGTGAAAACTTTGGTGAACAGATCAAATTAACATGACTTTCTTCAACTCATAAAAAAGAAAATTTTCATACGTTTTTTCCTTAGAGAGGACATTCTTGAGAGTGTTTTGCTACAAAACCAGTAATATCAGAGCTTCTGATAGAGGAAGATTTAAATTTTAAATGATAAGTAATATTAAAAAAGAAAACAGTAGTTAGGCGTAAAATAAGCAATGAAAAAATAAGTAAATATATCTTTTTGATACTCGAAAAGACCGAAGGTGTGAACACAGTTCCAAGCAAAGGTTTCCAACTCTTCTAATGTTGTTTCGGCTCTTTAACAGCAAACCTGAAAGAAAGCAAACAATTTTGCGTTCAAATTTCAGTGTTAAAAAAGACACGATTGCCATGCCAGTAGATTTTGTTTTTCTTTAATTATTATATCTGAGCCACTAGTTAAGTGTAGTTAACATGGACATTAAAGTTAGAGAAAAAGTGTTTTTCACAAAAATATCAGGCTGAAAAATTTAACCTTGAGATGTCATTCCTGAAAGCAGCTGATCTCGCATTACACAGAGATCTTCATAGAATTTCTACATTTGATTAAATGCAGTAAATAGGAGTTTCACACCTATTTTAAAAGTAGTGCTACCTTTCTAAAAAAAAAAAAGAGGAAGAATAATGAAAAATTAATAAGTGAAAACTTTGTTCGTCATGAACAGTATAGTAAGAGAATAAAATCGAATATTTTTTTTATTCTTTCCGTTTTTTTAATTTAAACATTAATTTTTCATCTTTGGCAAGCTAATATTTTCATAGACATTTAATAGGTAAATCAGCAGTCAATTCTTTCCGAACTTTAAAATTATGAAAAAAAAGGGGGGGGGGAATGAGCTCATGGACTGCTGATGAGTTTGCTTCATTTGGCTTAAGACTAGAGGTTCCGATACCTTGAAATTCACCTTTAAAACAAAAACCGTTTAAACCAAACCAGAGGGCTTGTAGGCAAAAACAGAATTGAAGGAATGCACTCCATACTTCCTCTTCCAAGTTGCGAGTAGCAGTACCAGACCATGAAAACAATGAAGAGCTTAATCAACTAAAAGCAGTATTGGAAGTTTAACTTGAGGGCATAGGTGCAGGTTGTGGGCACTTTTGTGTTTCAGTGCTTCAAAATTTCTTTAAATGAAACATTTATTCTTTACTCTTTAAAATGTGATGACGTGATGCAACAAAATTTTTAGTTAAAGCGACTGAAAAGTTTTTGTTTCTTCTTTTTTCTTTAATAAAAAAAAAAAAAAAAAAAAAAAAAAAAAAATTCATGTTAAAAATTCTGTGACTGCCCAACAGAGAAATATATTTGTCTCCTCGGCCAAAACTTTTAGTTACAGATATTTATGGCTTAAGAATAAATGGACGTATTTATGCTTAAAGGGACTATGTAATGTACATAGGGTTTCCGTGCAACATTGTTCCTTTTAGCATAAATATGTTCAAATGAGTGATGACTCCATTCATTCTTGGACATTTAAAAGTTAACCAAACTTTGGAATTATAAATGCATTCAACTTTTAAACTTTACTTCGTGATAAAGGATGATGAAAAATGATAGGAGTGTTTCCTGCATGATATGTTAAAAAAGAGATGTGCAAAGAAATATTCTGAATGGAACATTGAGTGCTAGCCTAGTTGTGAGCACAATATCAATAATAACACAGAGGTGCAAGAAAAAAAGAAAGAAATATGGAATATACAATGTATTTGGTTCCAAAGCTGTGATACTAATAAACTGTTAGAAAAAAAACCAGGATAAATAAAGAGACCTTTATGAGAAAAGGCCTTAACTGACGAAGAGGCGCATACTAAATGTCAACAAGACCTTTCATGGGAACAGGACAAAGGATACGCCCCAGTCAATAATGCTGCATTTTTGTTGTAGTCTACATCGTAGTCATAATACATATGATTATGATGTGCAAGACTGAATGATGCAAAGAGGATATGACACCACATTAAATTACATTGCATTATGGGAGGGGGAGGGGGGAGAATGCAGGTGCTCATGGTAAAATTATTAAATTGCTAGAAAATTCTCGGAATTTCAAAAGGATAAAAATACCAAAAACCAATTCAGAAAACAACTTTACCTGAAAACAATTTTGGTTCAACACATGTCCAGTCATTTGCAGCAGGTCATAGACTCAGGATTCCATAGAGGCTGCTTCATTCCGCTTAAAAAGTGAGAGACTTCCTTCACATGGCCACGCAGAGGATAATGAAGAGACTTGGGATGTGCAGAAACAGGAACAGGGTGGATGACAGATAAAGATGAACTTCCGCAACAGGATGAAAATGCAAGAAGATGATGATGGAGGTCAGATCCTCGTTGAGATGGGGTACATACAGCAGAGGAGTAAAGATGCTGATGAGTGAAGATCGGAGAAAGCAATGATGACTCATGTAGGTCAGCGGAAATAGATGTCAGTTGGCGAAAACTGATGAGGGATGAGAAGAGCTGGAAACCGCTTGCTGGAAAAATCTGTGACCACTGCGCGAAACAAACTGCGATGTATGGCTTCAAGGGAGAGAACACTGTTAAGCCTTGGGGGAAATGACAACAGACCATACAGTTCACGAATGCATGAATAGACAAAAGGCATTACACCAATCATCCAGATCACAGATAAACTAAGAAAAATTTGCTACAAATAAAATATACTACCCATAAATTTCAATTAAAGACCATTGGTGAATATATTGTCATAATAATTTTGATACATTCCTAACTTTTTAAACTATATGTGTTTCGTTTAACTGGAATGACCATAAATTCATCTCACTCGGTCAAGTGATGCAATAGAAATTTGTTTTGCTGTTAAAAGTTTATGAGTCAGACTGTTTGACTTGATTCACCACTTCAATTCCTCTATTTTTAGCATGCATATGAGTGTGAGAGAAAGCGAACTTGTTGGATGTTTATTCACCCAAGCAGCATCTGATTTTCAAAAATATTTCTATTCTGACTAAATCTGAATTAACGTAAACTTAATCTTACAATTTGCCAAACCTTAGAACAAAAATTACACCTATTGGAAATTCAACTTTCAGTTGAAGGCACTTAGAAGTTGTTCAAAAGGTACCAAGCCTTGAAAAAATGATCACTTAAGAATGATGAAACGACAAGGCGCAGGTGCTACCTCATACCATGCTTGACTTAACTTAAAAAGATTATGACACTAGCACACTCCCTTGAATGGCACTGCGCCGAATAGCTATTCACTAAGTCCCCTACATCTTTTACAAATCCCTCATCTTAACTCCTCCTGCTGCTGCGAACTTCCTAGCCTCCCCGGTTTTCCAGATCATCACAGAACTTGTCATTAACAACATGGATACATTCATTGTGAACCTTAAATTTTTATGAATCGAAATTTCTCACAATACCACAATCCTACACAGGGGATAAAAACTGCCAACACAGTTCCAAAAAGGGGTGAGTTGAGGTATTTTCTGCCATCACTCAACTTTGGGAGGACTCAGATTTGGGGGAGTTGAGAATTTTATCCACCTGTTTGAATCAATGAAATGTGTGCAAATGGATTATGTAGCCATCCCCATGAGCTTTTTTGCATTTTCCAAGACTGTCCCCGACTGACTTACTTGTCTCCTGTCAAAAATAACATCAATTGTTTTTCTATGCTTCCTTGAGGTCCTGCAATTTCTTTGATAACAAAAATTTGGAGAACTGAAAAGTATTTTGAGGACACAACTTTTCAATTTTGGTCATGTTGTTGAAAATGGATAAAGACAATCTTACTTCTTTCATGATTTGGGTTATCTGGAAGGGATATGAGAGATTATTAACTTCAGTGTCTGGTACAAGCATCCACTTTTAACTTACCGCTTTTAGTCACTTGAGCTGCCACTTTCTTCTGAGGGCTTCTGTTGCTTCTGCTTCTTCATGGACTTGAGAGCTTTTTCACGAAGGCGCTGCTCACGTTCTTCAGAGGGTTCTGAGTCAACATCAGAATCCTAAAATATAAAATAGAATGGATATAACTAGTTGAAAAATTGGCACGTTCATGGAGGAAGAGAGTACTTAAGCATGACTTTACAGAAATATGCACCACTGACTTTGATATAATGTCAACATCTTAGTCTCTAAAAGTCAAGAGATTAATGGATGGTTTTTGTCGTTTCCCAAAAGATTATGCAAGGCATGCTAAAAATCTCAATTTTCAATATAATTGAGATGTATGTAACATAGCCCCCTGCGCCCCAGTGCAATGATCAAATTTTCAATTTGAATGAGTGAAAACTGAAAAGCAATTCAACTATCGTGAAACATACAAGTTAGTTTATCTTTTTAAATAAACAATTTTCACATTCTGATCCCCTTGATTTTAAATTTATTGGAAGCAGATTGTAATCCAAAAATAGGAAAGACCAGTTTTTTGGATCAAGTAGAAGTATTTATAGGCTAAAACTGTGACCGAATCTGGCTAATAAAATTTGGAAAAGAGAAAGAACAGAAAAATCCATAAAATCCTAAAACCAATTACTTACAGAACTACTTGCATCCTCTTTGCGTTTCTTATGTTTCTTGTGCTTCTTGTGTTTCTTGTGCTTCTTATGTTTCTTGTCCTTTTTCTTCTTTTTCTCATCACCATCACTTTCCTGCAAATCACAAAACATTATTTTCAACCCTTTAAAAAAGGTGACAAAATATTCTGGGAATTTTTGTCACCTTAAATAGAATTTGCACTATTTTTTCGATAGAAGTAGCCTCTGGCAGTTAAAAATTACACTTGACGCGGCGAAAAAGTGCCAAAAAGTGGTTGAGGATGTAGTTGAGGATTTTTTTAATGCATTTGATTGAAGAGGTTGGCAATGCATCAATTAAAAATAAATGAAAGTTGTCAGCTGGTATCAGCGAGCTTTTAGCGCAAATTTTTTCATATGATAGTATGGAAATGACTGAAAAGTGATTCTCCTCCGCTGCTACTACTTTTTTTTTTTACTTAAAATGCTTAGTCTCTTCCGTACAGGAATAACTTACTGAAATTCACTCGATTGAAAAATCTGAGATAAATCAAATAGACAAATCATTCTACTTGCAAAGCAGTAGAATTAATGGAATGCTTCAGCACAGAAATCTGAGATTTTTTAGGAGTAATTATTGAGATTTACCTCAGAGCTGGAGCTGGAGGCCTTTGATTTCTTCTTCTTTTTCTTTTTGGAGGCTTTTTCCACACTACGCTCAGATGAAGAGGAATCCTTCTTGTGCTTCTTCTTTGCTGGTTCATCTTCTTCAGAAGAGCTTGAATCTTTCCTTTTCTTTTTCTTCTTCTCCTTTACCTGCAGAAATTAGACGGACCCTCGTTTATGAAGAGGAAGCTTATCGCTTCGGCTATTCTCTCGATCATTTTTTACGCTGTTAATGTCTGGGCCGCAGGAGGAGTGTCAAACAAAAACAAGAAGCTTCTTACAAAAACCATTCGTCCTCTCAAGCTGCGTATATGCATGGCATACAGGACAGCCTCGAACACAGCCATCGATATGATAAGTGGTATCCCTCATATAAACTATTTAATTAAGGAAAGACTCAGCCTCTACCATCGTGAAGCGGACAAACCCACCATCAAAGCTGCGATCAGAGAAGAATGGATCACGGAATGGCAACAGGACCCTTCTAAAGATACCTGGCTAAAGAAACTTATTGTGGACCCGGAAGAATGGCTTACCAGGAAATTTGGCGACTTAAATTTCTTCCTAACGCAGGTTCTAACTGGACATGGCGCTTTCAACAGCTACCTTCACCGTATGAGAATATCGCCATCCCCCTTCTGCCCGTACTGCCCTGATGCTCTCGATACTCCAGAGCACTCTATTTTCTTGTGTAATAAATTTAATTCAGAGAGAGATCTTCTTGAGACAGAAATTAAAAAGACATTCACCACCGTAAATTTTCAAAAATGCTTATTAGATTCCAAGGAAAATTGGTCCAAAATTTGTACATATATTAAAACCGTCCTCACAAACAAAAAAGAAATAATAGATAAACAGATATTTGCTGATGCATGCCAACTGGCGGATTCCGGCGTCGCTAACAATAACCCTTGCTGACTCCAGTAATTTTCATTACCACTTATTTCTTATTCTATTTTATTTATTCAGCAAAACTTTCCCCTTAATTTGTATTATAGTCCAAATCATTATTGTTTTCTTTAATATCTATATATTACGCACTTTTACTGTAAGTGTATTTCATAACTGTGTAATTTATTGCGACAATAAACAAAAAAAAAAAAAAAAAAAAAACCTGCAGAAATGAACGGATTCATATTACAACCCATGAAATACATAAAATCGACAGAGGGGGGACTGAATGGGGATGAAGAGTCATGATCCTTCCTTTTTAAGCTGAATTGAGAGGATATGTACCACATATGTAAGATAGATCAGGCTCATATGTATTGATGCACATTTTTGCTAAGGAAATCGTGTGAGCGAAAATATGCAAGAGTACTTAGGCTTGAGAGAAAAATTTGAATTCATGTGATACTCTCTTCAAGAACAACATAATAAACAAATGGTGATAGCGGAGTGTGGTGAAGTTGCAGTGTTTCATTACATTATTCAATTAATTGTTTCTAAGACTGACTCATCGATATTTTCTGGGGTGGGCAAGCGGACTTAACTTTTGAGTCCAGTTCAACTAGTCCCAAGAGGCGGTGAGGTTCCAGCAAGCATTGAACTCAATTTGAGTGAGGATGACCCAAGCTCCTTTGGATTTTCGAGCCAAAAACACTACCATGAATAAGGTCTGAGCGGATGAACCAAAACAGAGCCAGATATTAAATTCCACTGACAAAAAGTAAAGAGGTTTATCTTCACTATAGAGATAATTATGTGGTATTAGGTTTGTTTTGCGATGGCAGAGATCATTTTTGTTTAAGTCATTTTTGGAGCTAAATATACTAACACAAAAAGACTTGACATCTAGAAAGGGAGAACTAAAAACTCAAACTCACACAAATAAATTAAAATCGCCGACGCGTTTCGGGGCTCCCTGGCCCCTTCTTCCCAGGGAAGACTTTTTTGTAAAAAGAAGGGGTCAGGGAGCCCCAAAACGCGTTGGTGCTTTTAATTTATTTGTGTGAGTTTGAGTTTTTCAGTTCCGGTTTACTTAATGTCTTTATTTAGCTCACAGTTTGTTACCTTGATTTCCCGTTTTTTTCATTCTGTTTTTTCATTACTTTTGGTTTTTTACAAAAAGACTAACCTTTTCGACTTCAGACTTCTCAGAGTCACTTGATTCATGCTTGCGTTTTTTCTTTTTCTTTGATTTATCATCATCATCTGATTCAGAGGAGGAGTCTTTTGATTTTTTATGATGTGCCTGAAAAACAAAGGTTATTCGTTTAAGATAAATATTAAGACCATTAATCACTCAAGAGCTTAGGAACCTCAGTTTAGTCAAGGATCCCAAAAAGAGGCATCCTGCTGCAGAATACGGGATAATGTCTACGCCCACAAGGTTAAATCATAGCAGAACCAAATTTGAGTCCAACTCAGTGAAAATTTGAACTAGTTATAGGTTAGTATACATATCAAAAAGAAGGTGGAGATTTAAAAATGTTTGGGAGAAATTCCTTTCAAACTAATAAATTCTCACTTTTGGTTGAAAAAACCCAGATATTAAATAACCTTTATCTGATAAAATATGTTGTTAAAAAATTATATGACTGCAAAAACTTCTGAAAAGTATAACTGAATTAAGGGCAATAATTCTACTCACATCACTGCTACGGCGTCTATGATCAGGTGATTCCGACTTCCTGCGCGAGGTGCTTTTACCCTCAGAGCTCCTGAAATAAAGGAAGTACAAGAAAACTTATATTAGCAGGTATTAAATATGTAATAAGCTTTCTATGAGTAAGTCTTAAACTTCGAATTGGCAGTTTTAGGATCTCAGTAAATTGAGATTCATGGAGTCCCTCCTTCCTTCTTTATTTGTTGAGCCACACAATTTTAAGGATTAGCTGACCATCTTAAAAAGAGAAAGAAAAAAATGCTCCTCCACTCAAATATGATGAGGCAGTTAAGGATAAGTAAGAAAGAACATTTAAACTTGTATTAATGTACAGGATGAATAATTGAGAGATTTTAGAGAAAAAAACTTAGGGCTTACATCAAATCTGAAACCTGACTATTCACTAACAGTGGTGATCAGTGAGCAGAAATTTCTTATTAATTTTCAGTCGAAAGTAATTTTTATCATTGCATTCGATCCATACTCTGTACTGAGGAGTCTCAGTAATGGCATGCTTGACTTTGTCAGATTTGCTACTAAAACGAAGATTCAACCACTTAATTTCTATATTTTTCTTATAACTTTAAACTCATGAAAAAGCTCTCTAATTAGCCTCTCATTGTAGAGAAAATTGCTTTATGATAAACGACTAGATTAAAATTATGAGCTTACCTGTCACGGTCCCTGGATTTATCATGCTTGGAAGATTTTGCTTCCTTTTCTTCAGACTTTTTAAACGGTGATGGTGTTCTTGATAGGCTCCTTGAATACTGGAAAGAAAAGAAAAAACAAATAGGAAAAAATTACTTTAAAGTAGATTTTACATGAATATGTTCATGAGTCTAGTAGTAAATGTCGTAAGTTACTTAAGGCTTGTAATAGGTCATTACGCCTAGTTATCATTTGCCACTCAATTTATATTAATGCTTAAGACCATGAATGAAATGCATACTTTCTTACTCTTTTGTAATGAAGAATGCTGTTGAGTAGTGGGCAAAACAACTAACAGCTTTCTAAATACTTATATCTTTTAATGGCAAATTTTTTACTTGCCTGGTCAACCATACGGATAATTACTTGATAAAAAAACCCACTTTATCTGCAAGTTTATTTTTTTCTGCCTAATCCATTGACTTAAAGCAGTGGCTTTGATCCTTCAGTAGATTTAATTTAAATACTAAAGGAGTGTATACTCACAGGGCTCTTTGATTTTGATCTACGGCTGGTTGACCTTGACCGACGTCGGCTAGACGATCTACGCCTGGAAAATGAGAAAGAATATTAAATATGTAAGAGAGATAAGTTGTAAATTTTGTTCCTTAGAAAGAATATTCTGTAATGAATGAGATATTCATGTGAGATAGTTGTGGTGATCTCAGGACCACCAAATGGACTAAGTAGCACAGCACTGAACTTCTTCTTAGCTAATATGCTAGCAATTTAAAAGATATAACTACATAAGACAAACAGACAGACAGACAGATAAACTTAACTACATGGACCTGGGTTTATTGGATGTGCATGATATTTAGTGCTTATTATTATTAATAATTTTAAGTTATATTATATGTAGGATCAAAGTAGAAGCAGAAGAATCTGCATTGAATTTGTTGAATGCTTCATGCAAATGTTCTAACCAATAACCTTAATCTGCTGGTCAGAGTAGCACCAACAATGAACACAGTTCACTTTATCCTTCCATAAATTGATGTTTTCGATGATTGAAAATAAATAATAATTCTACAATAATTATAGAATCAATTATCGCAACAATGATAAAAATGAAACTGGGAGAAAAATTTATGACTGGACTTACCTCTTTCTATCAACATCACGGTCTCGATCCTTTCTATCTTTTTCCCTGTCTCTATCTCTGGTTGCCGCTTTAGCTCGTTCTCGTTCACGTTCTGCTTCTCTTTCACGCTCTTTTTCCTTCTCTTTCTCACGTTCACGTTCTCTTTCTCTCTCTCTGCGTTCTCGCTCACGTTCCCTTTCACGCTGCTCTCTTTCTCGCTCCCGCCTCTCTCTTTCACGGCGTTCTCGCTCCCTTTCTCTGCGTTCTTCCTCTCTCCTCTGCCGTTCCTCTCTTTCTCTCCTTGCACGTTCACGGAATCTACGTTCACGCTCACGTGCGCGTTCTCGTTCACGCTCTCTTTCTCTATCTCTATCAGCAGACCTGCGGCTACTTCGGCGGCTGTAGCGGTCCCTGGAGCGCGATTTAGAGCGCCTGCGGGATCTAGATCGAGATTTATCACGGCGATCCTAAAAGAACAGAAGTAAATATTAGGTAAGTATTTACATTAATGTGAGACTCAAGAAGAAGAAAATATAAAAAAAGTAATTCGCAGTTGAGAAACTTTCAACTGCTAAAAAATGTCCGTTTATTTCTCGTCAGTAAAAAAAGCTGCTGACGTAAATTTTTGGCAAAGATGCAAGTTAATGAAAATTAGTAATCTAATAATTTCTCAAGTCAAGATGATTAAGAATTATATAAGCCAAGGACAAACCAGTAATTTTAATAGCTACTTATTCTGGATAGGATGGATTAATATTTGAAAAGTTGCTGATACAACTGAGCACAGAGCAGTTGTAAGTAAAACCCAATTAAGTTGAAATTTGAAAATATTTCTAACTTTGTGTTCAGCCATGATGAAGTTTAAATCAGACGAATGACCCTTACCATTCTCATGGTAAAATTTTACATTATACTGCCTTACTCAGTGGAAAATTTCGGGGGATGATCTGATGTCTGTCATGAAAAGGCTAAGTCAAGTACAAAAGAAAAAGAAAAGAATTCGTTGAAATGGGCTTATACTTACTCTGCCATGGCGGGAACCTTTTCGGTAATGGTCCGAGTCACTGTCAGAGGATTCATCTTTGTTTGATCTATACTGACGCTTTTTTTGGATGCTATTTTCTTTCTTGCGAATTTCAAAGTCACTGTCCTTGGAAGCTTTGTCTGAGAAGAAGAACACATCAAATGAGAGTTAATAATGAAAAATGTCTAGGTAATGCTGATAGCTTCAAAAATTTTACATTGAAACAAGAAACATGGGTTCAACAGAAAAAATGAGTGTGTGTGTAAACCCATCTTGCGTTTATCACTAGACGGAGGGTTGTAGGTATGTTTTAAAGCCTTTACAGTTGTCCAGTATGAAAACCAATAACATGTTTAAAACTTAACCTGTTCAGCCTTGACTTAAGCTAGCCACAGCATCCACCCCTGGCATAGGTTAAAAATTGGAGATGAGGCAAAAATATCCTGCTTCTATCATTTTTGTTTTCAATATTTTTTGTGTCTTTTTCTTATGGTTTCTTCTTTACTGTGAATTGATTTTTGGTGTATTGGGTAAATGAATGAATAATTTTTGATTTCATTGATGTAAATTTTCTTTTAAAACCAATTCATATAATTATGATTATGTTACAACAGTGAATGAAAATTCTAAATATGAGGAGGCTTTGGACATAGCAGTCAAGCTTCCAAAATCAGTAAGACATTCATCTAGGTTGAGTAGATACTAGAGTTCACAGTTTACTAGGAGTCAATCAGGCTTTCATGCTTAAATTCTTGGTCATGGCTGGCTGACATATTTATTGAACTGGCACAGCAGCAAGTTTTATTCAGAGCCATCTTCTTCTTTGCAATCTTCATGCTCTCAGATAAACATTAATGTATCAAAAATGTTCACAGCTCAAAAAAATTTTCGACGGCTTTAGAAGAGCAGGCCTGAAAAATAACACACCAAGTTTTCAGATAGTAACAGAATACGCGATAACACCATGAACTTGAGATAGATGATTACAGTATGCATGGCTCTTCTTAAAAATCTACCGGTAATTTTTTTTCAGATCAGGATTGCATGTTAATACTTTGAAGATAGTATTGTAAGGTTGTTTACCAGAGTGCTTCGATGATGAGGAACTACTACTTGAGCTGCGAGATTTGTCACGGCGATCAGACTTCGATTTGGACCTTGAGCGAGATCTTGAGTGCGATGGAGAGCATTTTTTGTGATTGCCGTTGTCAGCATCACCATTCCGGGCAGAATCTGAGCCAGAAGATCCAGACCTTGACCTGGATCGATTCTCTTTTTTCACCTTCACTGGCGACCTGCAATATCATCATAGAAACAAATACAATTAATTAAAAAGATTCTGTCAGAGAACAATATAAAAAAATCAATTTGATACGTGAAATCACTAAAGAATGTCCTTTAGTGCAGAACTGAATCCTAACATCTTCTAAATTCAGATTCCAACAAAAAGAATAGTTTTTTCTTACAAAATGTCTTATATTCGGATCACATTTTTTTTCTTTATTTTTTTAAGAGTCCCTCATAAACCATGCTTCAATAGAAATAATTTTCAAAATTTCCCTGCCCTGAGTACAAGGCCTGCTGGATTTCTAATTTCAGTCTCACAATGAATCAATAATCAATATGCAAAATATCTCTTTCCCGGTTTCACTGGGTATAGTTAAAAAAGTGTAATTTGCACTAAAGAGTATGTAATGTACGTGTACTTCAAAATATACATACCCTGATTCGCTTCTGTCACCAGATTTAGACCGTGATCTGGATCGTGAGGTAGATTTTTTATCATCGCCTTTTCCTTTTTTGCCCTCAGCATCATCACTGTGAAAATTCAAATACAAAAAGTGAGACTAGAAGTCCTAAGAAGGATGCTGGAAAAGTGCCAGGACAGCTAAATGTCTTTCAAGCATTGGCAGTTAGAGTTACCTAGTCAAAATTTTGAAAGTTCGAGCCTAAAGGCTTGATTGAAATTTAGAGGGATGAAAATAGATTTAGCATTCAATAAAATAAAAACAAGAAAATAATTAATGTTAGATTACCTTTTTCCATTTTCATTTTGAGGAGAGGAACTCCGAGCAGTGCCGTTATCTAACTTTGCCTTATCTTCCTTCTTCGAAATACTGGAATAAAAATGAATAATGAATGAAAGAGGTATTATTCAGATGAGCGGAGACAATTTGGGTACACATACGAAAAATACTGGACATACATCTCAGGATGTCAGAAACACTGAGCCACTGGAATTTTGGCTCAAGATTTATCATTGGATGCAGACACTTCATTGCTAGAAAGAGAAAATTCAAATGCTACGCTTTTAATTTCCTACGTAAAACCACTAAGTGTGCAAAACAGTGTAGGTATAATTTTTTAAATGTATTGAAGAAGGGATCTTGGTTAGCTGAAAACGTTGGTATGTCGGTTTTGTTCAATTGAATATCAATTTAATAATTTTGTCTGGGCAGCAAAGAAGTATATGTCAATTAGTTGTGAGGGAGAGGGAGGTAAACTGTTGGCAGAGACAGAGTTTTTTTTTGTTGCTGAAGGAAAAAAATAAAGATTTTACTCAGGCAGCCTTGAATATAGTTACCAAGTAAAAGAAAATTTAAGGAGCTTCTTGCTCTTGCCGACTTCTCCAAAATCAGAGCTTGTGAAGGTTTTGAAAATAAAATAAAGAGGTTGAATTACAATATAGAACTTTTTAAGGTGCCATTGACCTGATCACTCAGTTACGGCAGGCTTAAATTTAAGGGAGGACCCCTCCTAAAAACTGAAAATCTTGTTAAATACCTCCTGGATCTGGATCGAGATCTCTTGTGATCTTTGCTGCGACTCTTCTTGTCATCTCGGTCCCTATCGCGGTGGCGATCCTTGTCCTTTGATCGGTGTCGCTCCCTGGAATGACTCCTCCTCCTGCAGGAGAATCAAACAAATGTATTTTTCTTCTAATCATTTCAGGGATATCTAATACAATAATTTAAAAAATTGGTGCCAATCTACTTACAGAGTACAGTATGATTGCCAGTTTAGTGGATACAATAAGTACAGGCTACAGCAGAGGTATACAGTATTATCTTCACTATACAAACATTCCTCTGAGTGGAAAAGAAAGTATGGATTAAGTAGGTGCTATCGAGGCAAACAGGACCTCAAATTAAAAGTGTGTCACTTTGTCCATGCTATCATTTATAAAAATGAGAAAAGACAAATTTTACTTACTTATCTTTCTTTTTATCCCTGGATTCACGCTCTTTCTCCAACTTCTTGGCAATGTCATTTATCTTCTCTTGCTCTTCCTGGAATGCACAAAAATATTTAACAATTAGAGGATATGTAGAGGCTCAAACAACTCAGCTTTGAAAGCGGATCAATGGTATCCCAAGAAAAATCATACAAGTAGTTGAAAGCCTGCACAGAAAATTTCCAATTTTTTTCTTAATCAGCTATAATCAAGAACGTAAAGTAAAAAAAAATATATGAAAAAACACTAGAGACAAAATGAACAGGCTTTTCTACGATTGAAAGTATGACTTTTGACAGACTGCTGTACGCAAACTAAGTAGGTTAAGTTGTAAATAAAATTTGATTAGAAAAAAAAAAGAAGGAATAAAAATATACAGGGGGCAACATTTGAAATCTTTCATCTATCTTGGCACATTTTTGGTCACATTTGGCAAAATAATCAGGGATCTCTGTGTGATTGGAACTTGTTCACTTAAGCCGGGAATGAAAACTTAGAGTAAATGAAGATGCTAGTTTTTGAAAAGGAGCCAAGTTATACAAAGTGTGGAAACAAAAATTTAATTACCATTCTCTTTTTAATTTCTTCTTTTTTCTTTTCAATAAATTGCTCCGGAATGCCTGTCACTGAATCTTGGGCAGATAGAAGGAGCTCCCAAAGGTCAGTCATGAAAACACGAGCATTTTTTCCATTCAGAAAACCTGTCAGATTGATCTGCATTTTCTTGGGGTCTGGAAACTAGAAAAAGAATAAAAAAACATAGAACATTCAATTAGGTTAATTTGTTCCTGAGAATTGGGAGACCTTATAAAAATTGTAGTTTGTTTACAACTGAGCTGAGGAACTGCTCCAAAGTGATTATGAGTTGACTAATAGACAGGAAACCACAAAATTTATAATTTTGCATCTAGGTTGAGAAGAAAATTTGACTGAGTACAATTTAGTTGCTAAGGGATAATCAGAAGATGATGCTAGTCAGAAATTGAGTGACATTCTTGACTTGTTGAATCAATTGCTTCAAATCATTGCGTCGGATTTACAATAAGCTGTTTGCCACAAAAGTTTACTTAGTGACAAATTCAATGTTTGAACTAATACAGGAATCTATCTGTAATAAGCTTAACTAACAATTTTACCTCATTATTTGCCTCATCAAGACATACCATTGCATTAATAATTTTTGAGATTCTAGTAATTAGGAAAACTGCACAATATACGCTATGGATACTAGCTACATATTTTGAGGCAGACACTATTGATGCACATCGGGATGCACCTACCTTTTCTGCTTCAAGCTGGTTAAACACAAATTCCACCACGACATCGTCTTCCATTCCCAGGAGTTTGGTGATTTTTTGACTGATCCAGGGTTTGATGGTGTCAAATTTGACTTTGGACATGTCAACCTAAAAATAAAAAAATAGATGAATAAGACTAAATGCGGGATTGATGAACAGAACACAGCTTTTGCCTGCATTTTCACGATGACCGCATATTGCTCCAGTTCAGATTTTCCAGCACGTTTACAGTAGTTAAAATAAGTGCAAAACTGAAAATTACCTTTGAAATTTTGGCATCAATAGATTTAACAGTTTTTAGTAGCTAACGCTCTCTAGTGGTTGTAGCATACCTGAGAATACTTATATTTTGACCGCAGAGGAAATATGGCAGAAAGAAACCAAGCTTATTGTTGCATTTAAGGAAGAGACACTACTGCGCACACAGGCAGGGAAGGGGGGGAGGGTTTCAAATGCAGTGCTTTTTGTATAGACCATTGTGGGTGAGGGAGTGGATCTCAGTAGAGATACTCAGTGATTGACCTGTAAAAATTGGTCTTGCTCCTGATCAATAGGGGCAGGACAGGTGTCCTGAGTGCCTGAGTCTGATAAACGCTATTAGTGGCAACATCATCATAGAGATTCTCCATTATACCTCATTGGATCCAAACAATAACATTGGCATAACCTTTTTCAATGCTACTAATGCGAAAAAATCCATATATATCGCTTTTCTGTGACATGCCACTAATAGTGTCTACAGCACAGGACGTTAAATATATGGATATATATGAAAGAACAGCGAAGAAAAGGGGGCTGAAATTTACATCTACAAATACGTAAAAACTTACTCTTCTGGTGAGTGCATCTCCAAACTTCATTTGCTTGAGAAGTTTCTTTTCTTTGTCACTGAAGCGAGTGTCCTGCTCCGCTGTTGTCCCCTAGTAACAAACAAAGGCTTATCAGTCTTCCTGAGGTATTATGCTGATGGGGCAATATTTCTTCATCAATTGATCAACAATTAAAATTAATATGATTGATTCAGGCTTCTCCTACAGACTTAGCAAACATTAATCATAATGAGTATGACTGCAGACCACCTAGGTAAGTAAAATGCAAGGTAAGATGTTCCGTCAAGGCCATAGATTACTTTCATTCGGAGAATTTTCAAAAAGATGCGTGCGAGTTCAATTATTAATGATAAAATGGATCCATAAGATGTACATCATAACCTTTATCAATATCACAAATTGAAAAAGTGATACTCATCAAATATTCAATACCTGCTTGGGGGGTCTAAGTCAGTCCGCACATCTGTTCAGTGTGCTTTATGTACATAATGGAGAAGCAACATTCAATGAACGATGTAGATACGCTAATGTTAGTTGGGGTTCAGAGTACGAATTACCTACTCTTAGACGATTACTGAGTGACACATTAGGTACACATTGGGGGTGGTACCTTCGAATATTACCCAGCTTTCTTTGATTCATAAATACTAACTTTCATATGTACACGGCACCCACGGGTACTTAGGCAGGTCATTTGTCTCAGAAAAATTAACAACATTGTATGCTTACCGTGTACATCATGATGGATTACGGTTACTCAACTTGTAGAGTGTAGATAATTGTAAACTCAGAGGTGCTGAGTAGATCTAAAAAAAGTCAATAAAGCACTACAAAGAGGTAGAAGTTGAAAGCAGCCATGACTCTGGGGTCTCGGTTCAAGCACGCCTTCTCAAAACATGTATAATGCCCACGACACAGAGCTGTGTATTAATTACACTGTAAGTACATTGCGGTAACTTGAATTAATTTGAGGTCAAAGAATTATCACTAAAAAACGAAACAAATTCACAATTTCCCTCTGACGAGTAGCGAAAATCAAGGTTGCCGGCCGTCACAAGCGATTGAGCGTTTTTGCAGGCAAAGACCCCCTACGATGTGCAGGCGATCACAGAGCGGGAGTAGCTGGTGGAGCGTGCGTGCAGCTCGCTTGGACTCCATGATTCTGCTCTGTTGCNTAAATTGATAGAGGACTGTTTCGGGTACTATTACTTGTTTGGGCCGGGAATGTCATACTGATCCGAAGTTTCAGTGATAGGCTAAAGGGGGGACCTGGGAAAGAAATACTTTGCGATCTGCGCTCTACGACCCTAGGCTAAAGCTGATGATAGGTCGGTACTTAAACATGGCACGGAACAGGTGGGTTACACGCACTTGTTGAGGGTAGAATGAGATTTTGATTTGCCATAGTGACATCAATACTGCAGAATGATGCATATGATGAATATTGCTGCTTCTACAGTACTGATGTCACTATAACGAATCAAAATCTTGTTAGGTACTCGAGTGTTTCCTTGCGAACTGCAAAGTTGATTTCGTGCAACTTCAGCAAAGCATACGATGTGAGTTACACATGCGATATTCGTGGATAAATTAAAAATAGGTTTAAAGGGTGAATTCAATAATAATAAATTACTTACCCCATTTACTCTTTAGTATAATTAATAAAAAGACATTCTTTGGAAGACATCGTGGTGGTGGAGCAGGAACAGTTTTTGGAGGGAAGAAAACCAAAACATAATTAATAAAAAGACATTCTTTGGAATGGAAGACATCGTGGTGGAGCAGGTGGAACAGTTTTTGGAGGGAAGACAACCAAAACATAAACTTCTTCTTCTTCTCTTTCAACGCTCACCGCTCACCACAAACCGAAAACACTCAACATTATGCGTTTTTCCTCTCGCCTTCATACGCGAGATACTTTTACAGATGTAACACCATATCTTTGCCTGCAAAAAGTAAACATCGTCACGAGCTTTCGATTCGCTCTCCGATGTTTGATGCTTTGATGTTTGGTTGACGCCAACGTTGGCGTTCGTTGTTGAATGTAGTCATTAGCTATGGCGGTAAATTCAAAAAAAAAGTCGAGGTAATAACCCATAGCACATGCATGGGTCAGGACGCATTTAACGTGAAACATTGCCGAAAAATTCTGAAATATACATATGTGTTGCAAATTATGGGTCATAAGCCTTGAGCTATGCAATCATTCAAATTCCTCCATTATTGTTTTGAAGTATGCAAATCACGTGTTTCGGTTCGCGGCGCGGCGCGCGTCGTAAAGGTGAGAAAAAATGAAGGGGAAAACAGGGCCGGATTAAGGGGGTGGCCAAACGGGCTGCGGCCCATGGCGGCAAAATTAGGGGGTGGCAAATTTTGCAATTTTTTTAAATGCAGGTACAAAAAAATCAGATTCAGAAGAAAATTACAAATAAGAAAAGGTGACAAAATCTCTCATTTCCTGAGAGTTCATTAATTTCTAATTTTGTCGTATTTTGGTGATACAAAAGACTGCGCACCTTTAATTAGTTGAGTTAAGAGAGAGACCAAACACGTAATTTGGCCTGGAGCGGCGCGGCGCAATTAAAGAGAAATGATAACGAGGACTTGAGATGAAAAGGAGAAGCCCTCAACGCGGCGGCGGTCGGAATGTAACACATATTAGTGCCTACGAGACTGCATGAATACTTCACGCATTGCGTCAAACACAGTACGTTCAACCGCGGTCGGCGCGGCTTGAAACGCACAGTGCCTACAAGACTACATGAATACTTCACGCATTGCGCCAAACACAGTTTGGTCAGCGCGGCGCGGCGGCGGAAGTTAAAATTATTAAACCACATTTATGTTTGTTCTTTCTTAATTTTTTAGTTCATTTCTTACAAATGAAAGGCCTTGTCCCCACAGAGATAGGTTTACGGAACTAAACTTTCGCGCGAAGTTCCGTGAACTTTTGCTAGTATTGTTGACAGGGCTTACGCAAAAAATGTGTCCAACACGAGTGAACGCGTCTTATGCACCCTTCTCCCTCCGGCACGTTCACTTGATGGTTTTTATTGATGTTTATAAAAGGATGAGAAGAGGGCGGCAAAATACAGGCGGCCTATGGGCGGCAAGAAGGTAAATCCGACCATGGGGGAAAAATGAAAAGGAGAAGAAAATGAGAATAAACTTTTGATTTTATATCGCGCGAATAATTAAATATCGACGATGAAACCTCAAAACCAAGTAACTCGGTTTGCGACTTTGCAGATTTCCAGTCATTATTTATTAGCTTAAAGAATGCGCAACGTCAATGCTGAGTAACTTCTGTGCGATTTATCTTCGCCACAGCGAGGAAAAATTTGGAAAAACTTTAAAAATTAAATGATGATGATATTTGATTTGTTATCTCCTTCAAAAACTTGGATGAGAACGGAGATTTTAAAACGCCGCAAACGAGGAAACGTGGTTTGGGAGTGTTTCATCACTAATAAGTTAGGTATCAATTTTTTTTTACCATTAAACAAGAGGATTTTTGGAGTTTTGAATTTTCAAAATTCGACTTTCAACTTAAAAAATGCCTCCTAGTTTCAAGTTTCACGAAAATTGATCAAATACGAGGCCGAGATGGAATCTTAGGCCACATCAACCATTCCAGATTTTCGAATTTCGAGAATTTGACTAAAAAATCAAGTTTCCCGTTCTAGAAAAAAAAAAATGTCACCTGGTACCAAGTTTCACCAAAATCGATATTACAGAAGCCGCACATATCGTAAGATCAGAAAGGCTTTACGCAGTGATAAACTATACCAGTCAATTTACACACGTTAGTGCGCCTGCATTTTTGTCTGATACTGTGCAATACTTCTGTGGTGGAATAGTTGCTCAGAGCGCCTGCGAACAGCGCCTCAAACTCGATGACAACTAGGGAGGGGATTATCGCTGAAATCACACTTTAGCTCATGCGCACCAGTTACACATTTCCTCGTAACCAACAATGAGATGAAAAACATTCAGACTTAAATTTGCGATGTTGCAAGTTTTTCAGAGCATATTTTTCAAGCGGGTAACCCAATATGAACACTTCGAAATCTACAGTGAATTTTCCGAGATATGATGAAAAATACTATATTTTAATGTTTCATTCAAGTCTAGTGGTATGCTTTCATTAAATAGGGGAAAAGAAGAATGAGTGGGAACCTTCGGAAGCGGATCCGAAATGTGAAACCCTTGAAGTACAGTTGAAAAAGTGTCGAAACAAACTGACTGTCAATCGGTTTTATCATCAGTTTGCTTTTGCACCCATGCAATTATTTTGTAAAGATTATGATTCACGATTATATTTCTTCGAATGATCAAAGGAGACAACAAAGTAAAAAAAAAGAATGAAAAACTAAATGCACGAATATAAACAAGCAGTTTGAGCTCAGAAAAGTTGAAGATCGCACTGGAGAATTTGCAAGGGTCTGAAATTTGATGAATTTCCTGTTTAAGTGGAATCCTCTGAGTGAACTGAACACGAAGATACCCTTGATTCATAAATTGAGCAATTATTAGAGGAGATATGACAAAATAACCGATTCTGCTAAAATACATGTGTTTAAATGGGAAATGCCGCCAGATGACGTCACAAGGCGGCACATTTTCTCACTCTTAAATCAATTTTTCTCCAATTTCCCATGTCAGAAAAAAATTATGAAAAATATTGCGAACTCAGCTCATTAGGCACTTTCAGATGAAGCAATAAAAAAATTGCGTGCAAATTCTCCATTTTCACGAATTTAAGCCCTAACCAGACCCTGCATCTAACCGATTATAACATCAAGTCTGCCTTCAAAAGTTCGATTAGGCAGTATGAGCTGCGTGAAGAAGGCATTAGTTGCTCGTACTCGCAACAAATTAACCATTTCCTGGGGAAATTATTTCCAGTAGCCGAAAAAAACAACTCTTCTACAGTGTTACATAGTGTTTTTTTATATTTTTATTACCATTCCTGCAATCTACTGATTTGTCGATATGACCGGCTGGAGAGAACTGAGTTATTTCCTGACAGAGGCTTAGCAACATTTTTTAGTTGCGGGTCTCTCTCACTTGTCGAATCTTATTTCACGTTTGGTCACAGTTTTTGGGCAAAAGTAGACCAAAATGAAGAGTATTTACTTGAGGCACTCAGGCACCCCCTTTTTGCTAAAGTTTTGACTAATGGTAATTTTGAACTTAAAATGGAGATGTTGCATGTGTGAGGAATTTGCAATTTGACTATTAACTCTCATGTATAAGTTCGCAAGAAACACGATGGTGCCACTGGTTTTCTCTGAAATTAACTCCCAAGCTCAAAAAAAGCTCTCAAGTTGAAGCCAAAATGGATGGGGTATCCCACGCTATCCTGAAAGTCCACGTCTACATCAAGACAAACTCTCCATGCAAAGATAGGGAGCAAAATACATTGACAGGGTTGCCATTTTAATTGGGGACTCCAAAACTGAAAACACGGCAACCCTGCTAATGTATTTGCTCTCTATCTTAGCATGGAGAGTTTGTCTTGATGTATAGGTGGACTGTCAGGATAGCGTGGGATATCCCCTCCATTTTGGCCTCGACTTGAGAGCTTTTTTACAGCTTGGGAGTTGATTTCAGAGAAAACCAGTGGCACCATCGTGTTTTTCGCGAACTTATACCTTAGAATTTATAGTCGAATCGCAAATTCCTCACTTATGCAACATCTCCATCGTAAATATGTTTTTCACCCTATACTTCACAGACCAATCAAAGAGTATATCGACGGTGTAAGTCGGCAATCACATAACTCGTTAATAACATTTTTTTAAAAGAGAACAAATTGACATCATTCCTTGAAGTTAATGCAGAATTTTCTTCGCACAGAGAAGAAAAATCACGGCAGTTTTGAAGAATTGCCGTTGAGTAGTTTTCCGTTTAAAAAATAACGTACGACAGGAAGTCTGCGACGTCGCAAACCGAGTTATGTGATTGCCAACTTACACCGTCGATATGCAAATGAGTCATTTGTATAGAAAAAGACAGATAGAAATTACGAGAGATCATTAGCTTTAGACGCTTTTTCCATTAGGAAATGAAAAACAATAAAATTGAACAAAGCATTTTATTTATAAATTACAATACTAACAACTCATCAGTTTACAAAAAAATAAATTTAATAATTAATCAACTCAGTGAAAGTATCTTTTTGAAAACTGGAAAAAAGGAAAAGGAAATAAAAAAATGAGTAGGTAATCCATCCCAATGATGAGTAAGTACATTTGTTCAAAGTAAAAAGAAGTAAATCAGTGAATATTAATAAATAATAAATACACGTAAAAACAAGAGAAACGACTGAATTTGGTTATACAATAAATAAGCATATAAACTTAAATATTTTGAAAACAATTGTAATTATGTTGAGACGAGCTCACCTCATCCCGTTAGATCCTTGTTCAAACATCTTAGACTGCAAATTGAACGTATTTAAACAGAGACAGGGTAATTGAATTTCAGGTAGTCTAATTTTCTCTCTTGTTTTATTTTTTTCACAGAAAATCAAACAAATTACCACCTTAAAACTCTTCGCAAATTTGAACTGAAGTTTAAAGAATATGAGCTCCTCAGTTTCTGTCGGAAAAACAAAACATGATAAAAAATTTGGCAACGTCTGGTATAGATAGACCTGCGCTGGCTACGTCCGGTCAGCTATCGAAAAAAAAGAAAATAAAGAAAGAAAAAACTGGGGGCGTTCTTACGCTTAAAATCAGTGACGTGACATGTTTTTCGATAAATCTAATGATCTGTCATTTAAACCTATGGAAAAGAATCGATGAACAAGGTGTTTGTAACGAACACCTGTTTGATCTATTCTTTACTATAGCTTCAAATAGGGAAATATCGACAATCGATTGTTCACGCCAAGCCACTGCAAAATCGCCATAAAGGTATGTGTGTAGTAAAGGTGATTGAGATGAAGGAGTAGGTTGCTTATATCTGGCTTGCTCTTCCTATAAAATAAAACTTTCAATTAACAAAGAAATTGTGTAGGTACAAGATTAACAGTCATTACATTTAATCTTTAATAATATATATATATATATATTACTTTTTACAATTTGGTACAAAGATCATAAATAATTGCATCTAATATGTTTTGTTTTGCATAAGAGAAAAAAAAGTTTTTTGATTTTGGTTCCTCTACTTTACATTTTCATTAGGCCAAAATATTCTTCCGAACATAGGTAATCAACTCACTATACTATTATAGTATGCATATTTTAATGAGTAATAATGATGAAAACATGAGGAATACGACGGAACAGAATGTCAGAGGGCGTATTACCGAGTGTTTATTTTCACGATAAATTAAAAAGTCCGTAATGTAAGTTTTGTCAGAAATACTCGGTTTACCTTGATAATAAATGCAATTTCGCGAGCACTTTTTATATGTGCCACCAAAAAGAACTTCAAAGTTTCTCTCTATAAAACTAAATATTTTCTATGTGTGGTAAGTATGTTATTCATGAAAAGGCTAACAGTCAGGTAGGTTGCGACTGGAATGTCGGCTTCATTTGACAAGAGTAAAAATAGACGAAAGGCAGTAAAACATTTGCATGTCTGCTTCCTTGGATGGCAAAGTGAGACGACACCATTGGATTGATTGCAAAATGGTTTCGAGTGCATATAACCTGAAGTCCACCAACTTTTTTATAATCCGGCAGAATACTTCATACCGTCGCTCCATGATGTAAAGGCTTTAACTCCTTTTAAAAAGTTTCCTGTTGAAGGACGACACTAGTCACTGTGTGTCTTATAGCCCTCACAACATGTTAAAAATTTGAGATTTACTACATACTAAGGTGCTCCACAAGGGATGCTGTTCAATTAAGTGCATTGAAACCACATACATTTCAACCAAAACAACTTTTTAAAAAAGAACGTGCGTTTTTGTTTAATTCAGGAACTGATATTTTTGGCTTCTCACGAGCTCATCTCAACCCTTTCCACCGAGGAAGAAAAGCATTCTATGCGTGTATAGCTCATACTTGCCGCGTTTCGACGACTAGATTTGAAGTAATTTTTATTTAAAGAAAAATAATTCCTCGTTTAGAAAAAGATTTTTATTTAGAATCATATGCAAGTTTATTTAAACGTACAATAAACTCGGATCATGAGCGTTAAGTATTCATTCACCCAGTTCCGCTTTTTTTCTTTTCTTAGAAAATCTGACCTCGACATTTTTGGGCGCTTCAAGCTTTTCTAAGCTCGTTACAAGAGTTGCATATTTTACACTTAGTCTGCTAAAACTTATGAGCCTTCGGAGTTAATATATCTACCGTGTTAAAATAAAATAATGGCTGATAATTTTGCCAGATTTTAGCAGCGTGGCATGGTGGTTCTTGTGGAACTATAACGCTGAAAATTTTCCTTAATGGTAAAGCGCCACCTCAGAACATTACGTGTTTCGATAGTGCTAAACTCTCTTTCATGCCCGTGGACGGACTGTACGTTTAAACCTTCTTGAAAATGATGCAAAATATAGTTCCTGTTCGTCGTTGTTCGTCGTTTTTTCTTCGTTTCTTAAATTCATAATAAACTAGGGTAGATAATAAACTTTTTAGACAATTCTCAGCGTTTATTCGACAATATTATGAGTATTTGGGAATGGCAGTGTACTTGCATTTTATGTTTGATATTTTCCTCATTAAAAATGTAAAAAAATCAATGATTGAAACATGAATGTACAAGTTAGAGTATTAAAATTTAAATAAAAAATTTCGACTCATAATGTAGCTGATTCATTTGACTAATGCGCTGTGCGGGTAGTATTATTTTTAGATTTTCTCAAAAACACTTAAATCAAAGCACCCTAATTATATCAATTTAAAATGGATTCACGAGCGAAGTTTTGAAATTATTCTTTAATTACTTACAAAGAAAAAAAGAAAAAGAAATGAAAAACAATTTTAAAACGTGAATCTTAGAACTTCTTGAAATTATTATGATGATTAGAGTTTTTTGAGATTGAATTTTTTTTTAGGAACTGTAAAGCAATTACATTGAATTTTCATTTTGAAGTATTATAAAAAATATCTTCAAATTAGTTCAGAGGTCCATAGTTCAAAAATATTTAAATTAATTCAGGTGTCATTCTTTGGACAGGACCGATAACTAGAAAAAACTCAAATTAAATTGGCGATTTGTCATATCATAAATGAAACGACCCGGATTCAGGGAGACATGTCTTTTTTACATCATTGTCTTAGAAATACTAAATTGACTTTTAAAGCTTCGATCTATCTTTTACTGAAGAATATGCAATTTTTACTGACATTATGAGTTGAAAAGAGAAAACGTTTCGTTTATCCCATGAAAAAGAGATCAAAACGAGAAAAAACTTTTGAATTTTCAACAATTTAACAATCGATTTAAATCGAAGCAATCGAGGTTTAAACTATCGGCATCTACCATTTTAGAGGAAAGAAATTACTTCAATTTCCTCATTTTGTTTCTTTTGACAGTGATTAAAGTCTAGTTTTTGAATTAGTATAATTAGGTCAACTTCTTATCAATTAAAATAAATTTCAATATTTAAAATAATCTTGTCTTTCAATGACAAACAAAATTTGCTTTATCTCAATTCAAATCACACGTAAAAGTATTAGTAGTCTCAATGATGTAAGGTTAACAATTAAATATACGAGGTATAGATTTACCAAATTTATATCACCACCGCTTTTACGATAAAACTAAGATAAAACTGAGTCTACTTGTACTTATCTGCATGATCACACTGTTCAATTAACTCTTCCTCTTTTTTCTTGACAAAAAAAAACAATCGATACAGGCCTGCATGGCAGTGCACAAGTAACATCAACAGCAAAATTGTCATCTCAAAGAATAAAATTCTAGTAATTACAAACATGTTCCGCTCTCAAAAGAACCACCTGTACTTATATTCAACGAGTTACTAAATTATTTCTCTAAAAACATAGATCTGGGGTATGTCCGCTGTCTGTATCCCTCGCTTTCTGTCGTTTCTCTTCGACTATAGGCGGATGTCAGGCCCGCTGGAAACTTTTTCTGTAGAAGCCTACGGTCCTGATTGGCTGAGTCTCAGTGTACCCTCTGCAAAACAGGAGATTTTTGTAGGCTTGTCGGTACTCTGAGCTCATAACCACGTAGATAATTGGATTTATGCATGTGGTCAAGTATATCAGCATGTATCTGAAAGATAAAATAAAAGTGCACGATTACATAAAAACGTAATATCTATACTCCATATCACCCACAACTTTGCAATTAAAATTCGAAATAACATTAGAAAGCGACGCTATTTTAATTCAAAATTACTCATGTTTACTCCTTTGTCTCAGGTCTGCACCGAAGGATGGAGTGCAGGAGCTTTGTCACTTTGTCGGTAAGAGAGGATCTTGTTCATAGTTTGTACACGTCAGATTTGTTTATGTGTTAGTGAGTGGAGGTACAACTGCTGGTTCACAACTCGAGGATTTTCCCCCCGTACTTTTTCGTTGCGACTGCTAAGCGAAGACAAGGAGAGTTCTTCCACTCAACTCTTTGGGAGCAGGTGAAAACTTTTACCCTGGAGGATTCAAAATTTCCTCACGGGCAACTGTAAGGCAGCAATGGTAAGCACCCTTTTCTTGCCTGTTGAGTGTCTTTCAGTTGGCTGTAATTGACGGAACAGGGACTTTTTTGTGAGGGAGAAGCTGAGGAGCAACTCAGCAAGGAGAATTTAGGGAATACAGGAGGTACTCCATCAAGAAGGGTCTGAGGGGACTTCCATGGCTCGAAATGGTTAGTCATGGTTAGTCGAGGTTAGTTATGGGGGCTCCACCTGAGAGGAGGGGACCCCAAAACGTATTAGCACCCCAAAAATTTTCAAGTCAGACCAACACTGACTATTGCCGCGCTACGCGGTATCTCATTACTGCTACATTCACACAGCTGTTTGCTTATACCGTAACTGGAGGGAGATGTTGATACGTACCCGCCGACGTGGAGGTAGTGATACTCGTCGAAAGACTGGAGCATCTTGGAGACGGTGATGGGCAGGTAGCAGATGACGAAGGCACCGAAGATGACGAGGATCATCTTGAGGAGCTTGCGGTCTTTGGCGCTCATCTTGCCCGGGGAGCCGGGGGCCTGGCTGCGGCGCCGGAAGGAGGGGTGGCGAGCGAGGGAGTTGCGCCGGAAGAGGGCGCCCCGCATCGACGACAGCCGTCGACCCCCGAACGAGGTCCGCTTCTTGTGCGGCGCCGCTGAGGGCGACGTCGCCCGGCTGCTGCACGCCGAGGTCCCCGACGATACCCCGTCGTCGAGCTCCACCCCACCGTCGATACCTGCCAACAAACCACGTCAGATTTTAAATGTGAAAAGAGATCAATCGAACGTTGCGAGAAACGTGGCTTAAACTGGATCAAGTACAAAATACTAGTGTACCTTAAGACAGAGTGTGGTCATTCGTATCTTTTTACTACAAGAAAACTGTGCCACTTCTCGATTGGTCGTAACATTGATAACAGGGGCGTAGCTAGGAAATTTCTCTGGGAGGGGGGGGGGCATGGGACCACCTCTCGTGGTGAAGAGAGCGGGGGGGATGAGGAATGGAGGATCCCGTTTTTCTGGGGGGACCACGAGATTTCTGGGGGGGGGCAGGCCCCCCCAGGACCCCCTTAGCTACGCCCATGATTGATAAGAAGGTAAAATTTGACAAACATTTCAATTATACGGCGACAGATATTTAAAGTAGCATGTCCACGAAGAACACGTGAAAAGCACATGAAAACACCGTTAAATCGCCTTTCACCTTTATCACCGGAGGGTGTCAGATGTGCATAACCTCAAACTTTTTTTTCGCAGGCTTATGGCTCTTACCTCTGCTCAGAGGTCTTAGCCAACTATAGACAGAGATTCAATGTCCTTAGACAACAGGGCGATAGGGACGTCCATGATCCGGCTTTCAAATTTTCAATCTAGAATCTGTCTCTGCAGATCCACTTGTCAGTTCCATGAATATGTCGCCTCCACCAGGATTCGAACCCGGGACCCTCTTGGTCTAGAGTCAGACGCGCTAAATGCAGGCCAACTTGGCCAACAGCCTCAAACGTGCTTAAACGCCATATGAACATTCGAAAGTTGCCAAATTTCCCGCGATAAAATGCTTATTTTTGAGGAATGTTGGGAATATTTTTCCTTCAAACTTTCGGGAACTTTAGATGAAATTGCGCACAAAATTATCTAAAAGGTTCGAAGGTGTTACCAGGATTCATAAGTTTACCAGGAAATCAGTGTTTTATCAAAGGAAATTTGGCAACGCCTGAAGGTTCTACGGCGTCTTTCCATAGCACGGCAGCATGGTAAACGAAAGTTTGAAACTTCATTGGAATTTTTTTTATATACTCACCAGATGACGAAGATGGATCCGGGAGAATGGTCATCTTGTATCGATGCGAGGAAGGTGGTAACAAGTAGTTGGGGTTAGGCGGGGGATGCGGGTGGGGGTGGGGGTGTGGGTGTGGGTGAGGGAGGGTCATCATGTGGAGGACAACGTCGCGGGAGAGTTCCGACTGGGCCTGCGAGTTGTCGGTGGTCCTCTCGGTGGAGCAGGAGGGCGCTGAGCAGCTCGAAGTCCCGATCGCCGAGTCGTCCGTCGAGAAGTTCGGCCGAAGCTTCCGCATTTCCGCCTTCCCGTGCTTCCCCGCATAGTAGCTCACCTGCTCGAAGAGGAAAAAAATTGCATGAATCGAATTTGGCACGCCGCACAGTGGATCGAGTCAATAGGAGAGGTTGGACAAAATTTGGAAACTTTAAACGCTAATAACTCCGTCCATACAAAACTTTGAGCGTCTAAAAGTAGTTTCATTGGTTTTCGCGTAAAATTTCCGATTAAAAGCACCCCTCAACATTTAAAATGTGACGAATTAAACATTGAAATTTGCAGTTTGTGAATGAAGAGAAGAAAATTACATAGATTTGAATTACATAGATTGAATTTTTAATCACTTTGAATGACAGTAATCAATACAGAGCGTGCAAAAACTTAATTGCAGGAACAAGTTCAAAAACACGGACTCCGCGAGATGAACTAATCGCGCCGAGCACAGTGCGGTCGGCGCGAGGAGCATATTAGCGCCTACAAGACTGCGGAAATACTTCACACATTGCGCCAAACGCAGTGCGTCCGGCCGGCCGGCAGCGTGGAGCGCGTATCAGCGCCTACAAGACTGTAAGAATACTTCACGCACTGCGCGCTTTAATCGTTGTTTGTCAAAAATGTCATGTCCGACCTCTTTGATTGACACGACCAACTATGCGCCGCGCGCCGGTTGGGGAATGATTAGATAAGAAAACAATCGAGAAAGTCTAGAAGTTCGAGTCAGAGTTCCTGACACAATACAAAGCATTCAGTTTTAGCAATAACGAATCAATTTTATTTTTTAGAGGAGTGAGAGTTACTCGTCAGAAGATGTTGCTAGATTATGAGGAAACTTTACGTTCAGAAGTCAACTCTTCGGAAGTTACTTATTTCTGTTTGTTTATTATTAATTAAAAGAAAAAAAAAAGAAAAAAAACGAACTGTTTGACACATTGAAGCATAAAGGATAGTTTTTTGAAATTTCTACTTCTTCAACGAAAAAAGAAAAAATCCAGCGCTCTAGAGTTTGTCCTGTCTTTTGTAGAAAAGGTTTATTTTTCATATTGGTGCAGAAAGAAATAATTGAAAATGTTAAAAAAAGGAGCGAAACTTCTCCAAACCCCCTACCCCCCTCCCCACTTATTTTAAAGTGATAATTTCGAATAATTTGGGTGGTTGAAAATCTTCGTTGCCCGAAATTTTTGCGATAGAGTTTAAAGTGCAGGCTAGTATCGGTTCTTCTACATTCGGATCTCAAGCCGTTGGAAGCAGAATTTCGTGACTTATTGTTAGTTATGACATATGAGTACAAAGAGAGATCTATGTAATTTTCTCCCATCGAGCATTTTCTTTCATTTTCCTTCCAGTTTATTCTTGTGCATGCAATAATAAGAGCCTCTAGTCTGCATGTGAGTAAGAGAGGAATTTAATGAAAATTCACTTAAGATATTTTTTAAAAAATTTGAGGGGCTCGGAGGACGAAGCGGATAAGTGCATTTTTTAAAGAAATTGAAATATTAATGATTTCAAATAAAGCTAGTCTGTTAGCATCTCCTGTGAAAAAATCGCCCCCAAATTCCAATTTTTAAGCGTCAAAAAGTCATTTTAAACTTTCTTTCCGCCATGAGGATCCATTTAATTTCGAAACTTCAAACGCGTATTTCTCGAAATATCAAAAACTTCACTTATCCACCTTGTCCTCCAAGCCCCTCATTTCATGAACTATGATTTATTCAGTTTTTCAAGTGGTTCGGGGGTGCTCTTACCTTGCTGGTTTTGCGGGATTGTCGGGAGTTGACGGTGGTGAGGCGAACGATGAAATAGATCCGAGCATAGCACGAAACGATGCACACGCAAGGGATGACGAAAGCCGTCAGAAAGAGGAACTGCTTGGGCGAGTGACCCCAGGCGTCGGGCAGGATGGAGCAGGACCCCACCGTGGGGTCGAGCCCGAACTGACCCCACTTGCCCCGCCACGTTGGCACCAACGCCCCGAACCCCAGGAGCCACGTACTGCCCACCATCAGCACAAGGTTTTTCGCACTGTAAATCCTGGAAACAATGACAAAGATAATTACAATCTTGTACATAACTTGACGGTGCTTCTGAAAACAGAATTACAATCCATTTGTGACCGTGTGCTGTTGTGTTAGCGTAGTGGATTCTCGCGTTGAATGATGTATTTTCCTTACTAAAATTTTACTTTTTCATCAATAAAAAAAAACTAATTTGGCAAAATAATATCTATTTGTTATTGCTTAAATGCAGCATAAATTTTCATTTGGTTAAAAATGAAAAAGTACATTTTTTAGGACTTCAGTAATAATTAATTCATGTTAATTCATCGGTATAACATGATTTAACATGTTTTCTTATGGAAGAACGCATGGCACATGTTTCTCTATTTCTAATATATTTTCAGGGGTTGATTTGATGCAAAAATTCATAAGAACATTTTGAGAGAAGATGAAAATTTCACATCAGAAACCTCCCTAGTTCATAGATTACATTGTCTGATAATTGAGGAAATAAAAGCTAAACACGACTAAATACTGAAAATCGTTACCCCACTAAGATTCAAACGTGCCGCTCATACAACTTCGGCCGATCGACGGCGGTTCTGATTGGTTCACACGGCGATTACTCTAATCCGAAAACCGACCGAAACCAAGTCGTTACGGCTTCTCCATTCTCGTAGGCAACGCATATTATGCGTATAAGCAAACGCATATCAGCGCCTACAAGACTGCAGGAATACTTCACGCATTGCGCTTAACATAGTACGGTCGCCGGCAGGCGGTAAAAGCGTATTAGCGCCTACAAGAGTGCAAGAATACTTCACGCATTGCGCCTACAACACAGTGCGGTCGCTGGTCGGTGCTAAACGCATGTTAGCGCAACGGCTTCCGCACATTTCGTCATGCCGTCATACCGTTTGAAATTGCTCGATTCTGGTAAAATTTATCGAAATCGTGACGAGATATAAATGAATCTTACTTACTGAAGGGAACTTACTTAGGATAGAGGTCAGGGTGGCTGATCATGATGTATCGGTTGATGGTGATGGCAAGGACGGTGAAGAGGGAGACGGCGAGAAGCCCGTAGCGGAGGAACGGGAACAGTTGGCAGAGGAGCTCTCCGTGCTTCCACGAGCGGAACCAGAACGTCGAGGCAGCTAAGGGCAAGTTGAAGCAGCAGAACATCAGGTCACTTATGCTCAGATTGATTATGAACACTGCAGTCGCATTTCGCACCTGAAACAAAAAAAATCAGCCGATTATTCAGTTTTAATCGGTCTTGGCACAGAAAAAATTCATTGATAAATTTCTAGATTTCTAAGGAAATGAGCAACAATGCTTACGAAATAAGTTCCTCTGAAAAAGTTCCAAATAAAATCTCTAGATTAGAATTTTAACTTTCCCATTCTCAAAAGCGGAATTTTTTTTCAGGAATTTCCGGCTGTAACTAACGTTTCCGCAAAACTCTGACAAAGAAACACATACACTCTGCATCACGCGAAAGTTTTCGGGAACTTAACTTTCCAGGTATTAAATACTAGGGAACTTTGATCCTTAAGTATAATAATAACTATATGTATACATATAGTTATTTTTCAAAGGAACCAATATGCTGCTGGACACTTGATCGTCGGTTCTACTTGCCTTGCTTCCATCCCTTCGATCCAATTCAATGTTTGAGTATTATTTTAAGAAACAGGGCCTTAAAAATGAACGTTCTGACAACCGGATAGATATTGGACGGTACTTCTATGTGATGGTCTGACCAGGTCACTTACTAACGACTGAATAGACACTGAAGGATTTTGACACAGGTGTTCTCTTTAAACTCCAAGTGAAGAATAGCACGCACGCCAATGCGTATGCAATGCTTTGTACTTCGTACAAAACCCAAAGAAATTCAGTTGTTAATTAAAATAAGTTGAATTTATACAGGCATGCATAATATTCGCTTTAGAGTTTGAAAGATTTTGAGAACAAAATTTCCGAAGGTTAACTTTAAAAAAGACCCCTACGTTTAACAAAAAATTGAATTTTTTGATTCGCTGCATGGCAATTTTTCATCTTCAATTTTTCCTTTCCGTGCTCATTAAAATTCCATTGGATTTGGTGCGCAATCCTCAATTCACAATCTGATATTTTCCGCACCATCCGTTAGAGAGCGGCACTACGAAAGAAACCAATATCTTAGCAGGCAGGAGGCTTGTTTAAAGAAAATTAATGTAAGAAATAATTAAAAACGTGGTTAAAAGGCTAACGAGCCCGCCTCCCCGATAGGGGGAGATGGGGGGTAGGCGTGACCTTGCGCGACGCACGACAGGCAGCTTCCCATGCAACGCCCTTGAGAGCCCGACGACACGGTTATTGCGTCGTCGAACGGGAATCTGCACCTTGCCCCGGCGAGACGGAAGGGGCGTTAATGGGGATTAGTGCCCCTATAGTGTCCCCGCTTTTACTCGACACTAAATTGAAATGTTCCCCGGCCGAAGACGCCTCCGTCAACTGGGTCGGGGAACTGGGTCAGTGTATTCAGCCGACCTGGCACGTTCGCCCAGAACAAATACGGATAATTGTCCAAACGACTAAAAACTCCTGCCACTCCATTATAATGACCAGATGAAAAAAGCTACCCCTCCCGGGAAGGGGGAAGGGGGCGAGGGAGAATTCCGACGCATCGGACTACGCGGTCTTTGATGTGCCCGCACCCCGAAATGCTCATCGCACACGCACGATCCCTCCAAAATCAGCACGAGTATCGGATTGGAGGTTAAATGGACCGATATACTGCCGTGCTAAGAAAAAACGTCGCATGAGACTTCAGGCGTTGCCGAATTTCCTCTGGCAAACCACTAATTTTCAGGAAAGTTTTTGAATGTTTGTCAGCCAATTTCTCGGATAATTTTGTTTGGAATTTGATCTAAAGCGTCTGATAATTTTAAGAAAACGTATTCATAATTTTCATTCTCCTCAAAAATAAACATTTTATCGAAGGAAATCTGGCAACTCTTGAATGTTCGGACGGCGTTTTTCCACAGCTCGGCAGGGTATGGCCAAACTCTTGAGAATCGTGTATCCACACTGAAAAAAAACTTGTCCTAAATTTAAGGAAACACGTATCCTTAAAATGTTTCCTCATTCCAATACGGTGTCAGCTTGGAACAAGCCAAGTTGTGCGCTTAAATGCGGATATTCTACATGGATTTATGTAAGTACGAATAAGAGCTTATTTTTCAAAACCATTTGGCAACAATGTGATTCGCTCTACCTTATTTTCAAGAACACTAAAGAGGTTCATCCGTCAACATCCCAAAATCTGATTTTTCGACCCATTTTACCGTCGCAAAGTTTACTTTTTGCAAAGAATGTGCCTAAGTTGCACAATCCCAGCAACATTGAAATGCTCTTAGTTCCCTTTTGCAAAATGCAATCCAATTGGTTGTTGCTGCAAAAAAATAGTTTCCCACAACCTGCTATACAATGCTCCAGTGACCATGTAAGTTGACCCGAACACTAACTTTTCGGGAAGAAAGCCTTTCCGCTACCTGGTTTCTCACTTAATATCCGCCCGAGTTTCGCATATCTTCCGTTTCTCCTCATCGCAGCTTCCATCAAACCGCAATTGCCCGGAAACTAGGACCGCACATCTTATCTGATAAAATCGTTCACCCTTTAGACCGATTCTGGGGGGTTAGGCTAGACTAGTCGATGAGTCAACTGTTGATCTAATTTCATTACGTGAACGTAGAAGAAAAACGGGGTAAAAAATCACTAATGTGTGATCAATTTTCAAGGACAATTCTGTAATTTCTCCTACGATTTTAAACAGATTAAAACGCGTAATATCCAAAATCTAAGCTCAGATTCGGATTTCTCGTGAAAAACTGATGCGATTTCATGCATCAAATTTTAGAATAGCGTGAAGAAAAGAGGTTTAATGACGTAAAAAAACACTAATATATGATCGATTTTCAAGGACAATTCTGTAATTTCTCCTACGATTTTAAATAGATTAAAACGCGTAATATCCAAAATCTAAGCTCAGATTCGGAATCCTCGTGAAAAATTGATGAGATTCTATGCATCATATGTTAGAATAGCGTGAAGGAAAGAGGTTTAATGACGTAACAAGTTGGTTTTTGCAATCGCTAGCGATAGCAATATTCGTCATGGGAACTTTTGCTTCTGGGATATGAAAATTTTAAGGTACAGTTCGTTTGTAGTATCTTCAGAATTGAAGGGGCTATGTAATTTTGTGTCGACATCTCTTTTTTAACATTTTTAATTTTTTTTCTTTGCATACAAGAAAGCTGTTATTTACCAATTATTTATTTTCGTTGGATTATGTATGGTTTTTGGAAGTTAACGCATTTAACTTTCAGTTTCGTTTTTTCGGCGTAAAGTATGATATTTTTACTCTACGCATATGCCCGAATACGCATCATAACGACGGTGAAACTACCAAACCACGTATCTCGTTTGCGGTGTTTAAAAATCTCCGCTCACATTTTATTTTTTTGAAGTAGACCAAATCAATATCATTCCTTGAAATTTTCACAGAATTTTCTCCGCACGAAGAGGAAAAATCACGGAAATTTTCAAGACTGGACGTTAAGTAGCTTTTCATTTAAAAAATAAAGTATGACAGAAAGTCTGCGACGTCGCAAACCGAGATACGTGGTTTGGTAGTTTCACCGTCAATAAGTGACCTATGTGCTTCCTAAGTTGCCATTTTTTTCATTCAAATAGATGTAACCGAAATGTTAGATGTGTACTACCTATACTACTTTCATGCCATTGCTTTATTTATTTATTTACTTTTTGCGTAGGTATAAGTAAATTGTTATTTTTTGCTGAATTTTGGAGAAAATATTGCTATAAGAACGTGGAATGTAAATTAATTTTATTGAAAAAAGAAAATACCATCATTAATTTGGGCGAACAGAGAAAATATACATCAATATTTGGGTCAACATCTCCCTGATTATATAAAGGATGAATATATTAGTATTTCTGTATCAAAAAACTTAGCTTTTGTCTTCAGAGATACGATGATTCTAGTCCCAGTCAATTTGTTTTATTGAAAAAACAAAAAAACAAAAAATAAATAAATAAAAAAAAAAAAAAACAACTGAAATGTTAGAGACATACTATTTTCATGTCTTTCTATTTGTATCAATAGGTACTTTTTGCTTAACTTACGAACGTTGAATGCAAATTAACTTTATTGAAAAAAGAAAATAACGTCATTAATTTGGGGGAACATGTGGCTGATTATATGAAGGAGGTATATTCCAGTATTTTTGTTTAACATATTAACTCACGAGAAAATGTTCGTACATTTATCATCTACTATTAATTATTTTTTGATGATTAGTCTAAAACATTCAATACAACCATTAAAAAGTAGTTCCCATCGTCGGGTATCGAACTCTCGATCGCCGAGTGCCCGCATCTAATTACAAGTACGAGGCGGTTTAGTCAACTAGGATATGACGGCCCGTTTGAACTACGCCGCCGCGCGCGGGTCGCCGGTCGCCCGAGATGCAACCGAACGGGGAGGCGCCGGCCGGCGCTAAAGCCCTTTCCACACGTTGCAAGTTTTGCTGCAAGTGAGCCGAAAGTGGGAGTCATCACTCATCGATGATGCTGAAATTTGCGTCCCGTCCGCAAATTTCACGACCATCGATGAGTGATGACTCCCACTTTCGGCTCACTTGCATCAAAACTTGCAACGTGTGGAAAGGGCTTAACGTTCGGTTTCGTCCCGAGGAATTCCTCACGATAAATTCTTATTCTTCCTCCTCCGCTGACCCACTGACTCCCCCGCTACCCATGTTGCCACGTTGCATTCATATGCTCGAATCAGTATGTCTACGTTCGTTACGTCTCTTTCCTTCACGCCATGCTCGGGTATGATACATGAAATTGTATCAATTTTTAACGAGGAATCCGAATCTGAACTTCAATTTTGGGTATCACGCGTTTGAAGTCAAAATTTCCAAATTCGAAAATCTGAAATGTTGATGTGGCTTAAAATGCCATCTCCGCTCCTGTTCGATGGATTTTCCTGAAATTCGGTGTCAGGGTATGATACATGAAATCGCATCGATTTTTGACGAGGAATCCGAATCTGAACTTCGATTTTGGGTATCACGCGTTTGAAGTCAAATTTTCCGAATTCGAAAATCTGAAATGACTGATGTGGCTTAAAATGCCATCTCGGCTCCTGTTCGATG